TGTAAACTCCACCTCCCCCACCCCCATTGTCTCAAGGCGCGCAAGTCCGCACACGCGACATTGTACTTATGTATGCAATCCCTCGTATTATCACAATCATATATAATAATCATCATCATCATAATAAAAGCTTATTTTAACGCAACGTCTGTGCCATGTGCTCTCTTGTCACTAAACTAACGGCGAGTCGGTGGGTGGGTGGGGTGGGGTGGGGGTCTCTGAATGATACTCGTAGTTCTTTCGGTAAAGTCACGTAGGTAAAAAATGAAATTCAAATTAATAAAAATAAAAAATAAAAACAAAATTGTATTATTTTTTTTTTTCATTTTTTACCTACGTGACTTTACCGAAAGAACTAAGAGTATGAATCCTTGCAGTCACGAAAGCTTCATATCTAGAAGTCTCTGAATGTGTCTCAAATCTCTTCTTCGCAAGGCCTCCCCTCCTGTACGGCGGTGTGTCTCAACTCATTGGTGTCACCGGGAAAGCTCCACGTTTGAACGTTTCTTGTGCCACCTGTCTTTCTCTGCGTATCCAAGACGTGAATGTTCAGGGGGGGGGGGGGGGGGGAATGGGGAGGGGATCATTGGGATCGCGACTGGACTCCTCCGATAACCAGGTCACTTCGCAGAATAACACTGGTCAACACACTTTTCTGGCACAAGGTATTCCAACGGTCTTAATGTAATTTTGGGGTGCTGATTCCCGACGTTTCGGAGGCAACACGAGAGACTTGTGAAGTCTCTTGTGTTGCCTCCGAAACGTCGTGATTTTATTATTTTATTTTTATTAATTCTAATTTCATTTTTTTACCTACATGGTGACTTTACCGAAAGAACTAAGAGTATGAATCCTTGCAGTCACGAAAGCTTCAAATCTAGAACCCCTACGAATGGAATTTTCTTTGGGCAATGCCAGAACGGGACGCCTAGAGGAGGGGACTTTGCTTGGAGACTTTGCCAGGAGGGACCCCTAGAAAGGGGGCTTATTTGGGGGGCTTTGCCAGGAGGGGGCCCCTAGAGATTGGCTGTTCTACGCCGCCTTGCCGTGCCACTGCCACACTTTCGGCTGCCTGGTGATGTTTGGCGAATTCCATTAGCGAGCGATGTGCTTCGTGTTGGAGGAAACCAGAACACCCAGCGTGCGTCCACGTGGTGGACAACACTCCGAAGGGTCTGCCACAGCCGGGCCCACAATCCAACGCTCGGCCACCATGCGTCCACGCGTTCGAATGTCGGGCGTTGAATTGCCTCCACGCGATCTGGAAAGGCGTTGCGGCTTGCTGGGCGTGAACGGTGTGCGCCAAACAATTGTTCCATTCTGTGTTCCATATGTCGGTCTTTATTATGTTTTTTTGGTAAATGCCTCTTAAGTGTATATTACAATTGTACAAAACACAAGAGTATAACAATTAAACGTTGCGCGTCAGTCTGGAATTTGCCGTGATCCCTTCGTTACGAGTCTTGCGTTAAAAAAAATATGTTTTTTCTTTTTTCTTCCCCACGGGGAATCCTGGCCAAGTCTCATGGCCCCCTCCCCCCGCAGCCATCCTCCTTGAGACCGATTTAATGTTTCTTGGCTGTCGGTGTGAAACGAGTGCCCGGAGAAAGCCAACACCGTTCGAGTGGACAACATCACCCGAAGCTTTCCGCGCGGAAAACTTTTTGTCACGAAAATTGAAATGTCACTTCCTAGCCGTACGGCACAACGGCGAACGCCTTTGCTGTCGATTTGAAATGCAGTGCCCGGAGAAAAGATGCCAACACCCGTCCGAGTGGCCAAAACGCCCCGAAGCTTTCCGCGCGGAAAACGACTGTCAGAAAAACTCAAATGTGACTTCCGATCAGCGGTGTATGTCGCAGAATCCGACCATCGCATATCCCGCCCCGACCCAAATTGTCTTCCCGCACAACGCAGCGAAGTCTTTGGGTCACGTGTGCTCCCAAGAGACGCTTCGGGTTGCGGATCGCCGTCGAATCAGCCCATCACCGCCCGTCACGGCCAATTGGCAACGGGGTTCGTCACGTGGAACAGGACGTGCCAATTCGTTGCTGATGCTGCTGCTGCTGCTACTTCAGCACCAGTGGTGTTCCGGGAGAGTAAACCCACGCAACGCATTTACAATTTCGAGGTTAACGAGATTACGCTAAAGCTCGTGGTCGCTGTAAGAGCCAGGGACGGATTGGCATGTTTTGTTACAAGTGACAAAGCTCGCTCGCTCGTCGGCCGTGTCGGGTGGAGGTGGGGGGTTTACGACACACATTTTCACGAACCCGAAATAGATTAACTTTAACGTGAACAATTTCTAAAACGTTTCAAGCAGCTTCTTCTTTTAATTCAAAAGTCCTATTGTGGCGCGCGGCTTCTCCAATTTTCATCAAACTATTTGGTTCATTCGGTAAAGTCGCGTAGAAATAAAATAGATGAAATAATAGAGCACGACGTTTCGATTGCAACACAAGCAACCGTCATCAAGGAAGAACTAAATTTGAGAGAGAGACAAAACACAGACACGGAGACACACAGACAGACATACAAGCAGAGAGAGAGAGAACACAGAGACACACAGAGAGAGACACAGAGAGAGACACACAACATAGACACACAGACAGACACACAAGCAGAGAGAGACACACAGAGACACACACAGAAAGAGAGACACACAACATAGACACACAGACAGACACACAAGCAGAGAGAGACACACAGAGACACACACAGAAAGAGAGACACACAACATAGACACACAGACAGACACACAAGCAGAGAGAGACACACAGAGACACACATAGAGACACACAACATAGACACACAGACACAGAGAGAGAGACAACACACAGACACACAGAGAGAGAGACACAGAAACACAGAGAGAGAGAGAGAGAGACAACATAGACACGCAGACAGACACACAAGCAGAGAGAGAGACAACACAGAGACACAGAGAGATACACAACATAGACACACAACATAGACACACAGAGAGTGTCGATGTTGTGTCTCTCTGCTTGTGTGCCTGTCTGTGTGTCTCCGTGTCTGTGTTTTGTCTCTCACTCAAATTTACTTCTATCTGACCACCGTTGCTTGTGTCGCAATCGAAACGTCGTACTCTATTATTTTATTCATTTTCTTTCCACGTGACTTTACCGAAAGAACCAAAGAGTAATTCCTGCAGTCACGAAAGCTTCAAATCAAGTGTCACCCAACTGTCCACGTGCATCTGCTACCTACACCTCGAGTCGGAATGCGCACGTTGTTGTATGTACCGCACTCCCCGACGCGTCAACATTCGATGCCATTCGCTGCAAGATTTGCCTCCCGAGCTCGCGACGATGTTGCGATGGTAGTCAATGTGCGCAAGTGAAATGTAATCGTGGAGCGGTAGGGAAGCGGGAGTGATAATAGTTTTCAATGAAAATATATATTTTTTTCTTTCTCTCTCTCTCTCTCCTCCGTGAAAAGCTTGCAGAGTTTAATATATTACCCGTAATTAGGAAAAATACGTTATTCTATATATATATCTTTAAATACATGTTCACAGTCTATATTGGCATGGCGTGTATACACAAAAAGGCCGTTTTAAAAAAGAAAAACACGGAACGCGTGGGATTTTCAGATCTATTCTGCAAACCTTGGACTCCCCAAAATTTGTCAACAAAACATTGACAGGGCCTTCATTTTCGCCGGAGCTGTCCAGGGCTGAGCGCCGAAAAACATTTCCCTGCCTCGCACCCAACCACCCGCCCGTCCTACTGGGGGGCAGGAGCTGGGCAAAGTCTCCGGAAAATATTCCATGAAATAAATTGAAGCTCTGCCAAAAAGAACCTCCATCCAGGTTTGTGTTCACTCCGTTGGGCAACTGCAGCAGTTTGACGCGTATTGCTGTCCGTGTTAAAATGATCAGCGTGCCTGTCGGTGTAGCACGCCTTCTGAACCCGCACAAAAACATACTCTTTTGTGTCTTTCGGTAAAGTCACGTAGGTAGAAAAATAAAAATATAATTAAATAAAAATATTAAAAACATATATCACGACATTTCGATCGCAACACGAGCGTTCGTCCTCAGGCGGAAAAAAATATCTAACAATTTTAACTGCTGAACCAGGAAGAACACTGGTTCAGCAGTTCCACTTCTGGATGATTTGTTCTTGTGCGCTTGTGTTGCGATCGAAACGTCGTGATATATTATTTTGCTATATTCTTAGGTTTTTTCGGTATAGTCACGTAGGTAAATTTTTCTATAAAAGTAAAATTAAAAATTAATTTAAAAATCACGACGTTTCGGAGGCAACACAAGCTTCCGTCTTCAGGTGGAACCGTCACAGCACGATTGCTGTATCAAGTAATTTATTAATTTTAATGTTATTTATTTTTTTACCTACGTGACTTTACCGAAAAAAACTAAGAATATGAATCCTTGCAAGTCACGAAAGCTTCAAATCTAGAATGTATCATTGTTGTTTATCACGGGACCTCCCTTGCCAGCGTCAAAATATTAGAAAAGGTTTTACCCTTTCTGGCAATAAAAACAGTTGCGTAAAAATGTTAAAACACCACACAGAAACCATTCGCAAAGAAATCATGTCCGCGTTAACCACATATACTTGTGGCGAACATGCAAACAAAATAAACCATGCTCTGGTAGTACAGGATGATGCATTGTCTTTGAAACTGATTGATCCACAACAGAGACAGCTTTCGATTTAAAGCTTTCGTGACTGCAGGGATTCATCTTCTTGGTTCTTTCGGTAAAGTCACGTAGAAGGGAAGTAATAAAATAATAAAAATAAAACACAACAAAATAATTCTCACGACGTTTCGGCCACAACGCAAGCAGCCGTCCTCAGGTGAAACCAGGTCTGTCGGGGAGAGAAGTTGTCTCTCGTTGTCTCCCCGACAGACCTGTTCTTCACCTGAGGACGGCTGCTTGCGTTGTGGCCGAAACGTCGTGAGAATTATTTTGTTATGTTTTATTGTATTACTTTATTATTTCCCTTCTACGTGACTTTACCGAAAGAACCAAGAAGAAGAGACAGCTTTCTTTGGCGCCTGGCCTTACTGGACATCTGTGCGGGGCCAACACCAAAGGAGCTCCACAGGTCATCGATTCCTCCACGATTAAGACTTCTGATTCCGAGGAAGAGCCGCGACATCGTCGCGGAGATTGTGGGGGGGGGGGGGGGGGGGCGATTTCATCCGCGAGACGTTTTGTTTCGCGCGTCCGGGGAGGGAAACGCTGGGGACACGTTGTGTCGTCGTGTACAACATTGGACGTATTTCGCGCCGCGCATATGCCAACGTTGCTCATCGGATGTGCAGTGGTGGGGGGGGGGGGGGGGGACTACAACAAAGTAAAAAGAAACAACGCAAAAAGCAGTTCTAAAGAAATTAGTTTTAAATCTAGACGATGATTTGAAAGTGCATAGCTTCCAGTGGATTCCTAACATCGGAAGGAAGAGAGCGTTCCAGACGGCCGCATCATCAACAGCACCACCACCACCATCAACGTCAACTTCATTATGCAGGTCCCTCCTCAACATCACCATCATCACCACCATCACCACCATCATGTACGTACGTAGAACTTCCTTCGCACCGTACGTAGCTAAACGCGCTAATCGGAGGTGCGGGGGAAGGACACCGAACGAAACACAAATTGCAATTCTAAAGAAATGAGTTTTCAATCTCGATTATTTAAAAGTGCAAAGCTCCCAATGGATTCCTCATATCGGAAGGAAGGGACCCATAGACCCACAGAAATCCTAGTGACTCGTCAAGAGCCATAGAGACCTACAGAGACCCATATTTACGTTGGACTTCTTTCGCACCGTACGTAACCGACCGTGCTCATTGGAGGTGCGGGGGGGGGGCAACAAACGAAACACAAACATCAGTTCTAAAAAAAACATCAGCTTGTGGCGCCCTCCCATGGTCACAGCGCGCAGCGTTTGCCCTTTGTGCCGATACAACACCAGGACAGTTGAACACGTGGCAGGCTTTCGCGACCAATATTATTCATAATCAACGTTTTTGGGTTTAGATCGCGTTATTTATAAATGTGTCGTAACCCTCTACCACCCGACACGGCCAATCAGCAAAAAAGTGTCACGTTGACAAAAGACAAATAGTTCACTGCTTTAGCCCACTGGTGTGTTGAAGCGTGAAACCACAACATTTACAATCTTTGAGTAGTACGACGTTTCGCTGGTAATTGCATCCAGCATCATCGGGAAATTCACCAGAATGGTGAGGCTCTGCTCTGTCTCCCGTTCTTATATAGAGCAGCAGCAGGAGTTGCGTTAAAGTGTTCAAATCGCCAAATAGAAGAAACCTTTTGCAAGACATTAAGTTACCGCATTGACCACACACACACAGGACTTGTGGTGAAAATGCAAACATACACGGCTCTGATACTAATAACTATATGGGCATTGTCTTTGAAACTGATTGGCCTACACCAGAGGCAGCAGCCTTCTTTAGCGCCCAGTCTCACAACGAGCGTCACACCAGAGAACAACCCCAAAAGGCGAACAGGAACAAAGACATGAGAGTTTTTTTGGGGGGTTAGATCTCGTGAATGTGTCGTTAAACCCGCCACCACCCGACACAGCCAATTGGTAAATGCGTTTGTCACGTGAACAAAACGTACCAAGTAGTTGCCGGTTCAGCACGCCGATTGCGTTGGAGAGGAAACTCGACATTTACAATTGTAGTGTAACGGAAATTAGTGTGTAGTGTATAGTGTAGTGTATAGTAGTGTATATTGTAGTGTATAGTGTAGTGTATAGTGTAGTGTATAGTGTAGTGAATAGTGTAGTGTATAGTGTAGTGTATAGTAGTGTATAGTGTAGTGTATAGTGTAGTGTATAGTGTAGTTTATAGTGTAGTGTATAGTAGTGTAGTGTATAGTAGTGTAGTGTATAGTGTAGTGTACAGTGTAGTTTATAGTGTAGTGTATAGTAGTGTATAGTAGTGTAGTGTATAGTGTAGTATACTAGTGCAGCAGTCACCGGTTGTGTGCTAGTGAGTAAACCCACTGCAACATTTACAATTCGATGTTTCGCGACACATTTTATATTCACGCGAACGAACCCAAAAAACCTCTAATCATGGATCATATTTGTTGCGAAAGCCTCCTACTGCGTGTTAAACAGTACAAAGACAATGCACGCATACAGAGCGTTTATAGCTCGGGGTGAGATAGCTACATTATTATGGCATACCATTTTTTTTTGCCAGTATCAAAGGATGAAAAATAAGAATGGGTTTTGTTCCTTCCTGCCAATAAAACCGGGGTGTGAAAAAGAAGAATAATTTCTTACCCCTTTCTGGGTAAAACAGCTGTTCGATTGCCAGAAAGGGTAAAATCTATTCTTATTTTGTGATACTTTTGATTAACTGCTGGCAAAAAAAGGGTCCCGCAATAATAAAAACTCCGATGTAAAATAACAAAAACCCCACCCACCACCACCGCGTTAAACCACCCCGCGCGTGCCACACCACCACCCACGCCACCAAAGGTGACGCTTCGTTTCACCCCCGTGACTTCTTTGCAGGAGGGTCCTGCCAAGTGTTCGTGCGTCGGAGGCGGCGGCGGCGCGGGGGGCGATGATTTGCTGCTGCTGCTGCTGCTCAGTGTAGAATGCGACTTGAGTAACTTTGCCCGTGATTTGTTTCACACTTTGGCAAACTGGGTGCCCCGTGACGCCGGCACACGACGGCCAGCTCGTGCGAATGACGCCGCTGGATCTTTGAACGTCCAGCGCGCGTGTGTTTAAAAAAAAAATGTTTTCACGTGCGGACGTTTGTATGTGTGTTGAACTTCTTTCACACCGTACTTAGCCGACCGTGGCTAATCAGAGGTTGCGGGGGAAGGACACCAAACTGAACACACAAATTCTAGATTTGAAGCTTTCGTGACTGCAAGGATTCATATTATTAGGTTTTTTCGGTACAGCACGATAGCTGATACAGCTATCGTGCTATGACGGTTCCACCTGAAGACGGAAGCTTGTGTTGCCTCCGAAACGTCGTGATTTTTATTTTATTTTACTTTTATTAATTTAAATTTTTTACCTACGTGACTTTACCGAAAAAACCAAAGAATATGAACACACAAAGCCAGAATCGGTGTCTCGCGTGCTCCGAGGGCTCACAGTACACGGCCCTCATCCCTGCTCTCCATTCTGGGGGCAGTTGGAGGAAATTCCACAGTACTATGGCAGGGACCCGAGGAGTTGGTTAACGTAGCGGCCACCTTTGTCGGTGTATTCCACCGTGCATCAAGCGGGGGGGGGGAGGGGGGGGGTTCTCATCAGCCGGAACTTATTTTACTGGCCCCAGAGATGATGATGATGATTGATAATTATTTATCGTTGACAACTGAATGCCAAAGAGCCGTGAAGACCGTGATGATGGAAATGATTGAATGAACGATGATGATTTAATAATGACAGAGGATGATGACTGATATCATTTAATGGTTGATCATGTTTAAGACTGAATGATGATGATGATTTGATGACATTGATGATGATGATGATGGCATGAGTGCTTAAGTGATGATTAAGTAAACAATGGTAATGATGATGATTACAATGACAGTAATTCATAATTATGGTTTTAAATAGATCATGACAATGATGGTGTACTGGTCCTAGAACGATTATTCATGATGATTAATTTGATGATGATCGTGATGTCAGTGATGATGATAGTGATGACGATGACTGATCACGACTGAATAATGATTGAACAATTGAATAATGATTGCTGATGACGACAATAATGGAGACGTCAGCTCGTCAACACAGACCAGGGATTGAACTCAGGGTTCCCGCACGTGGGAGTCTCTACGCTGTCGAACAAAATGCACATCATCTGAACCACGTGTCTCTCATGCAGTCTCTCGATTACACCAGCACTTGGGTTGAACACGAATTGCATTATTAAGGTGCCATCGACTGAACCGTGACCAACAGTGGCATGTGTACACACACACACATACACGTGTGAGCGTGTGTGTGTATTGGGAGCGATAGTGTAGCGGTTAGCGCTATGCTGCGCTACGAACCCGGCGACCCGAGTTCGATTCCCGCTCACGGCCAACACCAGTGACGATTATCTGAACCAGTCCTGGGCCTCCCTTAGGTCGACTGAGTCTCAAATGAGTACCTGGTGCGGTGTGTAAACATCGCCACTAGGAAGACAAAGGCAGTCGGGTGTGGTGGTGGCCACCCACCCCCTCGTGTGCCGTGCCGGCCTTCATAGGTGCTCGTTAACAGCACTTGCCCCAACTGTCTGTTAAGCCTATACGGGGGATCTTTGTCTTTGTTGTTTGACACATATATATAAATACACAGTAACTTACATCGGCGTTGAGTGTTTACGCGGCTGCGGCCAACTCCGCTTGTAACTTCACCCCAGGGGCACGGGCCCCTTCACACTTAGCCGTCGATTCCATCAATTGCATCATTGGTGGGGTGGTAGAGGTGGTGGGGGGCGACGGTGGTGGAGGTGGGTCAGGTGAGTGGTCAGCCAAGGTGGTGGTGGTGGTGGTGGCGGGTGCCTCCCTTGCGGGCCCGTCTTGTCTCACTGCAGGAATCCCGGTATCATCAGATCTGTAGGGCGCACGCACAAGAGGCAGCGGCGGGCGGGCCGGCTCAGCGATTCCATCTCCCGAACCGCGTGTTCAAAATTTGCGTTTGTGGGTTTTTAAATCCTTTACATTAAGTTCGCTTGCTTGCTTAGGACCGTGCAAATCTTTCGGTCGTTTTTTAACCCACTTGACAAAAGAATATGCATATCAAGGCGCCCCTTTTCCTCCCTTCCAACCCAGCTTATATATATGCTCCAAGCACATGTGCTGTTTCATTCAGACGCTGTCGCCTCGACAGACCTGGTCTTCACCTGAGGACGGCTGCTTGCGTTGTGGCCGAAACGTCGTGAGAATTGTTTTATTATGTTTTATTTTCATTATTTTATTACTTCCCTTCTACATGACTTTACCGAAAGAACCAAGAAGATGAATCCCTGCAGTCACGAAAGCTTTAAATAGCCATGAGACATTTCAGATTAAAGTTTCTGTGCGTCTCACCGGCCGGGCGTCTGGGCTCGATGTTCTCGTAGACGGGAGCCCCCACGCTGCCCAGGAGGCTGCGACTCTTCTTGGAGCGGAGCTCCTCCAGCACGCACTGGTGCAGAAACACGTACTGGCACTGGACGGGGCGGGTGTGGGGGCGACACGCACAAAGACAAAGATTCCCCCGTGTTAGCCTTTCACGGACTGTTTCGGGGCAAGTGCTGTTTGTAGCGAGTGGCACCTATGACGGCCAGCACGGCTCACGAGGGGGTGGGGGTGGCCATCACCACGCCCGGCCGCCTTTGTCTCCCTGGTGGCGATGTTTTCACACACTCCGCCGGGTACTCGTTCGAGGCCGAGTCGACCTCGGGGACGTGCGCGTGTGTGTGTTGAACTTCTTTTGCACCATACGTAGCCAACCGTGGCTAATTGGAGGTGCGGCAGAGGTCGCAATCGGGTACCCGATACCCGTACCCTACCCGATACCCGGCTATCTGTACCCGGCCGGGTACGGGTACCCGTTTGCGACCCTGGTGCGGCCGGGTACGGGTACGGGTAGGCCGTGAGTCACTGGTGAGTCACCGTTTGTCACTCATTTCCCAACGTCTTGTCTCTTCTCACAATTCAAGTTCCTAGAATCTACCCACCCACGCCTGCAACATGGCTTCATCCCAGAGGTCGCAATTGGGTACCCGATACCCGTACCCTACCCGATACCCGGCCGGGTACGGGTAGCCGGGTAATCGGGTAGGGTACGGGTATGGGTATCCGTTTGCGACCCTGGTGCAGCCGGGTATGTTCCGTGTTTTACCGAGCGGTGAGGCCTAGCGAGGCCTGGCGAGAACTGATGAGGCCTAGTTAGGCTTAGTGATGGAATCAAAACCCGTTTGCGACCTCTGAGGTGCGGGGAAAAGGACAACAAACTAAACACAAAAAAGCGGTGCTGGAGAAACGAGTTTTCATATTTAGCTCGTGGCCGTACACACGCACGCACGCACCCACCTCTGTCTGCACCATGAGCACTCGGTGCTGCCTGATGTCGCGCACCGTCCCATAGACGTCCACCGCCCCGGCGCTGTCCATCTGCTGCAGCAGCCGGTCCAGCGCGATGAGAGTTCCCGTGCGGCCCACCCCGGCACTGCCCGGTAGAACAACGGCAAAGATCCCCACCGCACGTATGTAGCCTTAACAGACTTTACACCATTGGAACCTCATTTGCCAGTAAAAAATATGATAATTGTTTTTTTACCCTTCTATCTGGCAACAAAACTGACGTCATCTGGTCCAACACCATGTGAGACTAGGCTCTGAGGAAAGCTGTCTCGGGTGTGGACCAATCAACTTCAAGGACAGTGTATACATTATCAGAGTTGTGTTTTTTGTTCGCATTATGACTGCAGGTATTGTGGTCTATGCAAACATGACTCCTTGTAAAAAAGGTGTCAGTTTTGTTGCCAGATAGAAGGGTAAAAAACCAATTATCATCCTTAACAAACTGTTGGGGCAGGAGCTAGTAGGGAGTAGCAGCACCTATGAAGGCTGGAACGGAACGCACGAGGGGGTGGATGCCCAGGAACCTCGCCCATGTGTTTGTGTTAGGGTTAGCAGTGGTGCCAGTGACGGGTGGTGGGGATACGGTTAGTGACGGTGCCAGTGTGGAGTGGTGAAGGTCAGATATCGGCGGTGGTGGGGTGGTCCGGTACATACACATACACCACACACACCACGCACACACCACGCACACACAATATGCACAACACATCACAGACACCACACACACACCACACACACCACACACCACACACACACACACCACACACACACACACCACACACACCACGCACACCACACACACCACACACCCCACACACACTACACACCACGCACACCACACACACCACACACACACACCACGCACACCACACACACCACACACACCCCACGCACACCACACACACCACACACACCACACCACACCACACCACACACACCACACACACCACACACACACCACACACACCACACACATACACCACACACACCACACACACCACACACATACACCACACACACCACGCACACCACACATACACCACACACACCACACACATACACCACACACACCACGCACACCACACACACCACACACACATACACAACACGCACACCACGCACACCACACACACCACACACACCACACACACCACCCCACACACACCACACACACCACACACATACACCACGCACACCACGCACACCATGCACACCACAACACACACACACCACACACCACAACACACACACCACACACACCACACACACCACACACATACACCACGCACACCACACACCACACACCACACACACCACACACACCACACACACCACACACACCACAACACACACACCACACACACCACACACATACACCACGCACACCACACACACCACGCACACCACACACACACCACACACACACCACACACACCACACACACCACACACACCACAACACACACACCACACACACCACACCAACCACACACGCACACCACACACACCACACACACCACGCACAACACACACACACCACACACACACACCACACACATACACCACACACACCACGCACACCACACACCACACCACACACACACCACACACACCACACACACACACCACACACACCACACACACCACACACACCACACACGCACACCACACACCACACCACACACACACCACACACACCACACACACCACACACACACACCACACACATACACCACACACACCACGCACACCACACACCACACCACACACACAACACACACACCACACACACCACACACACACACCACACACACCACACACACCACACCACACACCTGCAGTGCACCGCGGTGGGTCCCCCGCCGGGGCTGCGGTTGGTGTAGTCGCGCACGGTGCGCACAAAGCCCACGAGGGAGTGGGCCGTCTCAGGGACTCCGTGGTCCGGCCACACCGTGTAGTGGAACTGCCGCACCACGCGCGGGCTCTCCGACGGGTCCTCCTGCGCGCGTCCGTGCGTCCGATCGCCCATTCGTCGTCAGCTCATTCGCGCACGCGTTCGCTCACGTTCAGCCATTTTTCGGCTAGGCCATCGAACAAAAGACGGATCACCGCATCGCCTCGCGCTTTCAGATTCGGCCGTCTGGAACGCTCTTCCCTTCCGATATGAGGAAGCCATTGGGAGCTGTGAAGTTTTAAATCATCTACATTAACAAACTAATTTCTTTAGAACTGATTTTTGTGTTTAGTTTCTTGTTCTTTCCCCGCGCCTCCGATTAACGTGGTTGGCTACGTACGGTGCGAAAGCAGTTCAACATACATACTTAGTGTGGTTGGCTACGTACGGTGCGAAAGCAGTTCAACATACATACTTAGTGTGGTTGGCTACGTACGGTGCGAAAGCAGTTCAACATACATACTTAGTGTGGTTGGCTACGTACGGTGCGAAAGAAGTTCAACATACATACTTAGCGTGGTTGGCTACGTACGGTGCTCTGATACGTGCATCATACCTGTCAACAGACCAATTCTAGACCCCGTGCCCTTATAAATCTCAACGTTCATCCTACAAAGTCCCATCACAAGGGAGAAACACAAACACGCACGAGAGCGCATCTCATACCGTGTAGATCTTGAATTCGCGGAGCGTCCACTCAGGCAGCACAGACTCGGAGAACATCTGCACGATGAGGTCGCCGTAGTACAGGGGGTCCTGGTCGAACGGCCAGTAGTGGTCGCACTTCACCTGCAACCGCCGAGGCGAGAGGAGAGAGTGAGGCTAGGCCCCGGCAAAAAGGCGCCAAGGTTGGGCCAACATCGGCGCGTGCTTCGGAACCGTTGGAGCGAATGTTGGCGCAACGTTCCGTGTTTTACCGAGCGGTGAGGCCTAGCGAGGCCTGGCGAGAACTGATGAGGCCTAGATAGGCTTAGTGATGCTCCATTGTATAGTATGATGAGGCCTGATGAGGCTTCATTTAATGAGAGCGATTTAATAGTGAGAATGAATTAATGAATGAGTGGTCGATTGCGAATTAATGATAGTATAAGTGAGCAAGTGAACCTAGTCTTGGGGCCTGGGGATGCTTGTGAGTCCTAGTGAGTCCTGGTGAGGCTTGGTTTGGGATGGTATGGTGAAGCTGTAGTGAGCGCCCTTTTGGTGAGGCTTGGTGAGACTTGGTGAGGGGAGGCGATGTAGAAATTACTTAAAGAGGCCTAGGTAAGGCTTGGACTGAGAGGTTCGGTGAGGCTTGGTGGCATGAAGGTGAGGTCTGGTGAACCCCTGAGGTTACCCGAAGTTTAGACACTGGCACTTTGTGACCTAATTTTCCCAGTTGGCCCAACGTTCCACGTTGAATGGATTGAGGCCTGGTGAGGGCTTTGCATATGCATGCATGCTCGTAAGTGTGTGTGCACGCTCGTGCGTGTGCGTACGTACGTGTGCACGCTCGTGCGCGTGTGCATGCTCATGCGTGCGCGCGCGTACCCGCCCTCGCTCCACGCACTGCGTCACCATGACGACATTGTGCACGTTCTGCTCCCACACCATCCTCCAGAAGTCGTCCTTCGTTCCGGGAAGGGGGCCCTGCGTCGCCACGAACTCGCGCCGGAAGCTGCAGCCCTAGTGGGAGGGACGATTCCGCGATGGCAGCGGTGTGGTTAATGACGACGACGACACAAAGATCCCCCACCCCCGTATAGCCATTAAAGGACTGTAGAGGCAAGTACTGTTAGCGAGCACCTATGAAGGCTGGCATGGTGGCACACGAGGGGGTGGGTGGCCAGCACCGCGCCCGGCCGCCTTTGTCTCCCAGTGGCGATGCTTTTACTAACCGCACCAGGGTACTCCTTTGAGGCTGAGTCGACCTAGGGGGAGGCCCTGGACCGGTTCAGATAATCATCACCGGTGTTAGTCGTGAGCGGCAATCGAACTCTGGTCGCCGGGTTCATAGGGCAGCGTGACGCTAACCGCTGCACCACCGCTCCCAGCCTGGCACACACCCCGTGGTGATGCCATCGCCGCTTAGTGCCAAATGGCAGTTGTTGTTGTTGTTGTTGTTGTGTGGGTAGTGGCTAATTCTTCACGCTACAAGCCCGGCGACTCGAGTGCGATTCCACCGCTCAAGGCCCCAGGACCGGTTGGGGCGGAGGGGGGGCGGCTCCTTACTGGGATGTAGTTGGCGTTGATGTAGTCGGAGCTGGGGTCGTCGTCGAAGCAGGACAGCTTCACCCTCGTCGCGTCGTCTGGGAGTGAATACAACGGGCACAGAGGTCACAGAGGTCACAGAGGTCAACGAGGTCACCGAGGTCACAGGTCACGGCGGTGGTAGTGGAAGCGAGAGAGATGGGGGACGTCTCTAACCCGCCCCCCTCAGTGAGGACACGCCCCCCTCAGTGTGTGAATCTGGCTTTGACAACAGCCATTGACCTCACCGCATGTCACTGGCCTGCGCTCGCCACTTACTCTTGGAAAAAACTTAATTTGGAGCTTTCTTTCCCTGTCTCCTAATTTTTTCAAGCTATCGCACCGTACCACTCACCGTGCCACTCATTGACATGCTAATTTCTCTCACCCCTCCCTCTCTCTCCGCCCCCTCTCTCTATTTAAGGCCTCGACACGGAGGCGTGGTTTCTCTGTGTGCCTATGTTTGTTCTCTCTCTATGTATCTCTGTGATATCTGTCTCTGCTTATATGTCTGTCTATATGTCTCTGGTTCTGTGTTTTATCTCTCTCTCAAATTTAGCATTCTCAGGAAGAACGTAATCAACCAGGTAGGGTGATGACCGTAATGTTATCCGACTCTCTGTTGTATTACATTACATTTCTAAGCATACTAGATTTGTGTTTCTATTTAATTTATACCTGATGATGATTGCTTGTGTTGCAATCGAAACATCGTATGCTAGTATTAAATTTCGATTTAAAGCTTTCGTGACTGCAGGGATTCATCTTCTTGTTTCTTTCGGTAAAGTCACGTAAAAGGGAAGTAATAAAATAATATTTTATTACTTCCCTTTTACGTGACTTTACCGAAAGAAACAAGAAGATGAGTATTAAATTTATTTATTTATTTTTATACGTGACTTTACTCTTGGAAAGCCAACATTGTTGACGATCAACGAGTTCAGAAAGGTCGTTTAAGTCCTTCTCGGTTGACCGTACGGATTTACTTTATTTTATCGTAGTTATTTTATGTCGGGCAGGCTCATTGCGCGATTATATTCACCAATGAGTCTCGCGTACGAGATAAGTTCACGTGGTTATACATCACCTGACGTGTACCCCCTGGGACATTGCCACGTGACCCCCAGGGGTCCGTTTACCCCCGGTTGGCAACCACTGGTGTAGTGTAGTGTATAGTGTAGTGTATAGTGGTGCAGTGTATAGTGTAGTGTATAGTAGTGTATAGTGTAGTGTATAGTAGTGCATTGTATAGTGTAATGTAGAATAGTGTATTGTATAGTGTAGGAGTGCAAAGTATAATAATCAATAGCATAGTGTATAGTGTAGTCTATAGTGTAGTCTATAGTGTAGTATATAGTGTAGTATACAGCGTAGTGTATAGTGTAGTATATAGTGTAGTATATAGTGTAGTATGTAGTGTAGTGTATAGTGTAGTCTATAGTGTAGTATATAGCAGAGGTGGGACAAAGTCATTGTTATGCAAGTCCAAGTCGAGTCTGAAGTCATCAAATTCATGACTCGAGTCTGACTCGAGTCCAAGTCACATGACTCGAGTCCACACCTCTGGTATATAGTGTAGTGTATAGTGTAGTGTATAGTTAAGTGTATAGTGTAGTATATAGTGTAGTCTATAGTGTAGTATATAGTGTAGTCTATAGTGTAGTATATAGTGTAGTGTATAGTGTAGTCTATAGTGTAGTGATAGTGTAGCATGTACGTAACAAACTCTCACGTATGATACAATTTCCCACGTTTTTAAATCACGACCACGTTACCCCCTGGGACATTACCACGTATCCCCTTAGGGGTCCGCTTCGTACCTCCCGGTCGAGAACCACTGCTCTAGGCGGCCTGGCAACATCGTGGATCCATGAGAGACGGTGCCTGGTAATCGGTCAGGTGGCCTCCCCCACCACCGCCCCCCACAACATTTGATGTGTCTCTTTACACAGTCGCCAAACGTTACCGGCTCTAATTGAATAACAACAAAATGTGAACGCGGAAACGTTCAACGGAATTGCATTTTCACCCCAAAAAGTCAACTGAAACCGCGTGCTAAGTAAGCGTTGTCGCTGTTGTTTCTCTCACGCCGTTGTCGGAAACAAATCTCATGGTCGGTTGTCACGACAGGAGGGGGGGGGGGCCCTCCAAGTCGTAGCTTCGGCCACCAGGGGGGGCCAAAGCACCGCCCCCCACCCCCCTGCCAGGCCCCCCACGCCAGAGGTCGCAAACGGGTTTTGATTACTTACCCGTACCCGGCCGCACCAGGGTCGCAAACGGCTACCCGTACCCGTACCCGGCCGGGTACGGGTAGCCGGGTATCGGGTAGGGTACGGGTATCGGGTACCCAGTTGCGACCTCTGCCCCACGCTCGTTACGCTACTCAAAGCCGCCGGTTTGTGTGCGTTGACCTTGACCCCAGCGGCGGACTGATCGCGACTTAGAGCCGTCGGAGGACGACGCGACCACTCACAGGGCAACACGTTGTTGTAGCGGTTCTTGCCGCGGTTCTCGGGGAGGAGCGCCGCATCTTGGGGCTGGTGCCGCCCCACGTCCTTGAGATCCTTGCGACGAGAGGCAACGAGAGGCAGGGGTCACAATCGAGAGTCAGAAGCTGGTCGTGTTTTTTTTTTCTTTCTATCCTGGAGAAATGCAATGAGCTAGGAAGATTGTTTTTGTTTAAAATACATTGGCGCGTGGTGTCGTGCAAGGTCTAAAAATATTTAAAACAAATTTTTTTCTATTTTACCAGCGACCTGGCTATCACAAATGATAGTTCAACCAATCATAAATGACGTCACGTGATTTTGGACGATTTTTGACCCCCCCCCTCCCCGTTCGTCACACGGCGTCACAAAAAGTCAGACCCCCCCTCAAATATGACGTCACAAAGCTCTGTTCCCCTCCTCAAAAATAAAACATGCTTCGAATCGCGTTAAACTATTGTCATTGTAGTGCGTATTTAATGTGGCGCTGCACTCTGATGTTATAGGAGAAAAAGTCTATTTTATTAAGTAGAACGTGTTGTCTTTATTTATTTAAAGTTGCGCATTTTGATGTGACGTCACATTTCGCAACCCCCCCCCCTCGTCACACATCGTCACAAATTTCTGACCCCCCCCCCTGCCCTAGGTGCGTGACGTCATTTATGGACGGCCCCTTATCATCGTCACGTGGAAATGTATAGCAGCCAAAAACTCAAAACACGTGTTTCTTAACGTGGAGGGAAACCGGAGGGGCCGGAGAAAAATCCACGCGTCAGGGTAGGGGTCGAACCCACGACCTCCTGTGTACCAGGCGAGGTAGTTAACATCTCCTAGCCACCGTGATGATGATGAGAGACACAGACTGTGTGTGGTGTGTGTTGGCTGTATTTGGGGTGTGTGGGGTGTGTGTGTAGCGTGTGTGTGGGGTACGTGTGTGTGTGTGCGTGTGTATGTGTGGGCTGTGTGTGAGGTGTGTGTGGTGTGTGTGTGTGTGGTGTGTGTGTGGTGTGTGTGGGGTGTGTGTGCGCGTGAGGTATGTGTGTGGGGTACGTGTGTGTGGTGTGTGTGTGGTGTGTGTGTGTGGCGTGTGTGTGGGGTACGTGTGTGTGTGCGTGTGTGTATGTGTGCTTGTGTGTGTGTGCGTCCCCTCCTCCGCCTTACCTCGAACTCCTGCGACAGGAGGTAATTGGAGTCGGCCTGCAGCTTGCGCAGGTGATTCTCAAAGTCGGACAGGTAGATGGGACTGTGAAGAGCCAGGAGAGAGAATGTGGAATCAGTGGCCGCATCGGTGGTGAGAGGGAGCAGGGGGCGGTGGTGTGCAGGGGGAAGGGAAGTTGAATTTTGATGGCAGTTATGTACTGAATGCTTATTTCGCACCGTACGTAGCCAACCGTGCCGTGTATGGGATTTGGTGGCCGTGTATGGGATTGTTTTGGTCCCTGTATATAATTGACGCGCACAGCGTTGATACGGGATGCTGTCAGCACGACCGACGGCTATGCAAAATTAAAGTATCTTATCTAACTTTTACCTAAAGCTTTCGTGATGGCAGGAATTCATATTGTATGGTTCTTTCGGTAAAGTCACAACAATAAAATGTTATTGTTATTATTTTTCTTCTTCTATCTACGTGACTTTACCCAAAGAACCAGAGAATACGATGTTTTTTCTGCAATATTTTGCTGTCTTTTTTTGGATTTTCTGTTTGAACCAGCGACCTCTTTAACCGGCGACCTCTGAACCGGCGACCTCTGAGCCAGCGACCTCTGAGCCAGCGACCTCTGAACCGGTGACCTCTGAGCCAGCGACCTCTTTAACTGGAGACCTCTGTATCAGCGACCTCTTTAACTGGCAACCTCTTTAACCAGCGACTTCTGAACCGGTGACCTCGGACCTAGCGACCTCTTTAACTGGAGACCTCTTTAACCGGCGACCTCTGAACCAGTGATCTCTTACCCAGCGACCTCTTTAACTGGAGACCTCTTTAACCAGCGACCTCTGAACCGGTGACCTCTGAACCAGCGACCTCTTTAACTGGAGACCTCTGAACCGGTGACCTTTGAACCGGTGACAGTTGAACCGGTGACCTCTGAACCGGTGATCTCTGAACCGGTGATCTCTGAACCGGTGACCTGTTTAACTGGCGACCTCTGACCCGGCGACCTCTTGATCGCGAGCCCAGCGCGCCGCTGCCCGCTTTACACCGCCACCATGGCGACCCCGCTGGGCAAATACCGAGCACCGTCTCGAGTTTCCCCGGCTGGTGCGAGCGCGGGGGGTTTCACCTCCTCTCGGTCTTGCGTTGGGTCTTGGAGCCCGCCGTTTTCTCCGGCGACTTCAGCTGCATCGGCTTGTCCCGCTTTTGCCTGCAACGGCAGAGTTGCCGCGAGTGTGTGTTAGTGTTTGTGTGCGTTTGTTTGAGAAGATGTTCCATTACGGGGGGTGGGGGGTGTCCCACGTTTCGCAAGCGTAGAGAAGGGAGGGCATTACTGTGGCCGAGAAGGCCCGAAGCTTCGTGTGGAGCGACAGACCAGGTAGCGTCCACGTGGTAGCCGCTCGAATGGTTCGGAGTGAGAACCCCTGTTGTCAAACCGGAGCCGGTCATGAGCAAACTGCCCAAGTATGGAAAACTCTACACTCTCTCCAAAACTGCCCCATCAGTTGACACAGTAGGGGGCACAGGTGGTGCATCGGCCAGTCATCTCAGTCAGACACTTCACGTGGCCTTAAAATGCACTTAGCCTGGCACAAGCGCCACGGTGATTTCACTGCCACTTAGTGGGGAATGGCGGTTCTTGTTATTGTTGTGCTTGAGAGTGTGTGAGAGTGTGAGTGTGAGAGTGCTGGCAATAATAGGTGGTACTTGCTAAAAGCACTTGCCCCAACAGTCTGTAAAGGCTATACAGGGGGTCTTTGTCTTTTTATGTGTGTGGTGAGCGGTAGTGTAGCGGTTAGCACACTGCGCAATGAACCCCACGACCCGAGATCCAATTCCCGCTCACCGATCCTGGGTCTCCCCTAGGTCAGCTCAGCCTCAAATTAGTACCCGGTGCGGTGTGTGGTAAACATCGCCACTGGGGAGACAAAGGTGGCTGGCCGTGGTGCTGACAACCCAACCCCTCGTGTGCCACCGTGCCAGCCTTCATAGCTGCTACTACTTGCTCACAGCACTTGCCCCACCAGTCTATCAAGGCTACACAGGGGACCTTTGACATTTGCTAACGTGGAGCGGCGGCGCAAGCGGCCGGCGCATGGCGCCGCGAGCCCAGCGAGCCGAGTTCGATTCCCACTCGCAGCCCGTGGGGGTCCGTCACAGGCCAGAGCCTTTCGCCTGTTTGGGTGACGAGCGCGACGAGTGTGGTGCGGCAAACGCCGGCGTTCCGGCGCAGGCGAGCGCGCCGCTGGCCACGTACGGCACGAGGGCCTTGCGCTTCCAGTAGAGGAGGGCGGCCGTGGAGACGAGCAGCAGCGAGAGGGCGATGCCGGCGAGGGTTCCCTCCACCGGGCCCCAGAACTCCTCTGCGTTCACGCGGCGCAGAGACAGACGACGATAATGACGGGTCAACCCGCCTGTGCGTTGAACTTCTTTCGCGCCGTACGTAGCCAACCGCGCTAATCGGAGGTCTGTAAGCCTTGGATGGCTGTTTTTTTTTTTTTTACACTGCACAAGCGAGCCGTGCCGGGGCCAAGGCGAGCCAGCTCGGCGCGCAACGGGAGGGAGGGGAGGCAGAGGAGGGAGGGAGGGAGGGGTGGAGGAATAATATTACAAATATGTACATAGAAAACATAGGGTGAACATAGACATGGAGTAGGGAGAGAGGGGGTAGAGAGAGGGGGTAGAGAGAGGGGGTAGAGAGAGAGAGGGAAGGGGTAAGCAGAGCAGAGCGTGAGATGAAGGAAGCAAAGTGCCAACTACACCCAGCATATTCTTGTTACCTCTGATCGTAAAAAAAAAATAATACAAAAATAAAAAAGGGAGGAAAGGGAGGGAGGGGAAGGGAGGGAGGGGAGGGAGTGAGGGAGAGGATGGAGGGGGAGGGAGGGGGAGGGAGGTGGAGGGAGGGGAGGAAGGGAGGGTGTTTTTTTCCCACTGCGGGAGCCGAGCCGTGCCACCGACGTCACGCGCGATGAACGCGTGGAGAACGCACGGAGGGAGACGGGCACACGGACGCACCTGGCGCGGTGAGGATGGGCGCGGAGAAGAATGTGTCGGTGAAGAGCGGCTCGTCGAGACCTCGGGGGACGTCCTGCAGCGCCGTGTAGGCCCTCACGCTCAGCCTAGCCACAGCCACAACCACCGTGCACTCAGCCTAGCCACAACCACAACCACCGTGCACTCAGCCTAGTCACAACCACAACCACCACACGCTCAGCCTAGTCACAACCACAACCACCGCTCGCTCAGCCTAGCCACAACCACCGCTCGCTCAGCCTAGCCACAACCACAACCACCGCACGCTCAGCCTAGCCACAACCACAACCACCGCAGGCTCAGCCTAGCCACAACCGCAACCACCGCACGCTCAGCCTAGCCACAACCACAACCACCGCACGCTCAGCCTAGCCACAACCACAACCACCTCAGGCTCAGCCTAGCCACAACCGCAACCACCGCTTGCTCAGCCTAGTCACAACCACAACCACCGCAGGCTCAGCATTGCCACAACCACAACCACCGCTCGCTCAGCTTAGCCACAACCACAACCACCGCTTGCTCAGCCTAGCAACAACCACAACCACCGCAGGCTCAGCCTAGCCACAACCACAACCACCACACGCTCAGCCTAGCCACAACCACAACCACCACACGCTCAGCCTAGCCACAACCACAACCACCACACGCTCAGCCTAGCCACAACCACAACCACAACCACCTCAGCCTAGCCACAACCACCGCACGCTCAGCCTAGCCACAACCACAACCACCGCTCGCTCAGCCGAGCCACAACCACAACCACCTCAGCCTAAATACAACCACCGCACGCTCGTCCAATGTATTCATGTCGAAGTTCTTTCCCACCGCGCTCATCGGCGGTGGCCCAACCCCGACCCACCGGACGCTCGGCCTGACCACGACCACACCCACCGCACCACCGCTCCCCACACGGCCACGCAGACCGGGGGGGGGGGGGGGGGATGACGGCGACGGCGGCGGCGGCCCTCACCGGTAGGGCGTGTTGGGCCGCAGCGGCCCCCCGTGGCAGGGCCCCCCCGCGGCGTCGGCGCAGCCCCAGGCGGCATCGGCACGCCCGGCGCCGATCTGCGCGGAGAAGGCCCCGAGGCGGTCGCGCAGGCAGCGGTTGGCGAAGGGCGGCGTCGCGTACACCTTGACGGAGGCGTTGCGCGCGTACTCCTCGTACGGCGGCAGCGAGTGCCGCGGATCCGGCTTGGCCGGCGACGTGTCTGCAGGAGGAGGAGGGGGGAGAGGATGGAGGGTCATCGACGCCGCCATTGCCATCGTCGCCGCCATTGCCATCGTCGTCATCGTCGTCATCATCAGCTGTCTTGGTCCTCATCATCGTCATCATTCATCATCATTTTTTCTAAATGACTAACGTCGTCTAAATCGCATTTTAATCGTTGTCGTCACCATCATTGTCATCGCCATTGTCGATTTAATCATCGTCGTCATCGTCGCCATCGTCAGCTCTGTCTTTGTCGTCATCATCATTATCATCACCCGGCCCCCACCCCCTCCCCCCTGCCCCCCACCCCTCTCCCCCGCCCGCCCCCCCACCGTCGCCCTTACCCTGGGACTCGTGGACGATGACGCTGAAGAACTTGATCTCCCCGTTGGCGTCGCTGAACCAGTCGCAGCTGATGTTGAAGCGGATCCCCTTGCGGAACGCCACGCTGCTCCTGTCGGCGGGGGCCGCCTCGCGCGCCGGCTCGGGGGGCCCTGCACACCGGTGGGGGGGGGGGGGGAGGGATAGCGGTGGGAGGGAGGGGGGGCGTGATAGCGGGGGACAGCCGGGGGGGGGGGGAGGGGCGGTGCTCAGCAGGTTCCTGATGTGTCAGTAATCGTTGTTACTTTTGAAGAATTTTCAACAACACCACGAGAAATGTCCTGCCTCTGGGCTCTGGAGACCACCTGCAGAAGATTCCAGGCGTGTCTTGAGAATGATGGCGAAGGATGGTCCCATATAAAGTGTTTAACATTTTTTGGAAGTACCCTGTGTATCACCGCTTTTATGCAACGGTTTTGCTTGAACTTGAAAGCTGTGTCGTGGTCAAATCTTGTAATCAAAAGTTAGTCGACTTCCTGCTGCCCAATCAATTCCAACTTTTGCACACGTACTCAGATCCGGTGACAATGCATGCCTGTATTAAAATCAGCATCAATTCATCAATTAATTGCCTCCTTTCAAGTCTCGATTTAAAGCTTTCGTGACTGCAGGAATTCATCTTCTTGGTTCTTTCGGTAAAGTCACGTAGAAGGGAAGTAATAAAATAATAAAAATAAAACACAATAAAATAATTCTCACGACGTTTCTCACGGCGTTGTGGCCGAAACGTCGTGAGAATTATTTTATTGTGTTTTATTTTATTATTTTTATTGTTTCCATCCTACGTGACTTTACCGAAAGAACCAAGAAGATAAATCAAAGCCCGTTTGCGACCTCCGGCTTCAGGGCACGACAAAGGGAAACGGCGGCGACGCCGGCGGCGCTCACGATCGATCATGGTGACGATGGTCTGGACGGCGGCGGCGCTGTGCCGCTCCCCAGAGACGGCCACCAGCGTCACGGTGTAGTTGTTGTGCGGCTCCAGGTTGGCGAGGACGTGGGAAAAAATGGCGGCGGCGGCCCCGGCGGGCAGCAGCGCCGAGACGCGTCGACCGCGGCCGCCGGAGGACGGGTCGCAGGCGACGAGGAACGCGTCCACGTCGGAGCCCGCCGGCGCCAACCACGAGCACGAGAGCGCCGTGGAGTTCTCCGGGCGGCAGTGGAAGCCGGCGGGACCCAGCGGGACTGGACGGACGGACACGTGGAGTGGCTTGTCGTCATCGCGTGGAAATTTACAGCGGTCAAACACTCAACTGTTTATTGACTCTCGTGTCACAGAGCGTTACGGTTTTTTTTTATCGACCCCGGAGGGATGATGGGCTCGGTCAACTCGTAAGCAGGCTCACTGATGCTGTATGACTAAAAAAATTGAAAAACGATTTAAATTTTACCAGGTCAGACGCGGCCTTTTCATCACGTGGAAATTCGTAGCGGCCAAATACTCTAAACGTGTACCGTTGATGCAAATGTGGAGGGAGAGAGAGATGCAAACTTCAAATACACAGCAGCAGGCTTCAGGGTCGGGATGGAATCCACGATCGCCCGTACACCAGGCGAGGAAGTTAATATCTCCTAGCCACCGTGATGATGATGAGAGACGCAAACTTCAAATATACAGCAGCAGGCGTCAGGGCCGGGATGGAATCCACGACCTCCTGTATACCAGGCGAGGCAGTTAACATCTCCTAACCACCGTGATGATGATGAGAGACGCAAACTTCAAATATACAGCAGCAGGCGTCAGGGTCGGGATCGAACCCACGACCTCCTGTACACCAGGCGAGGTAGTTAACATCTCCTAGCCACCGTGATGATGAGAGACGCAGACTCCAAATATACAGCAGCAGGTGCCAGGGTCGGGATAGAACCCACGACCTCCCGTGTACCAGGCGAGGTAGTTAACATCTCCTAGCCACCGTGGCGCCAAAGCAGCAGCGGCGTGCACACAGAGACGCACGACCCGCAGCTCCGGCCTCGTCTCCATCGGGGAGCTCGTCGGCAATGGCCGCTCTCACCGGTTCGCACGAATCCGTGGCAGGCCTCGCTGACCGTGGGCAGCATCCCGCCGCTCAGCGCCCGCACGGCCACCGCGTAGCCGCGGCCCGGCACCAGCCCCGCCAGCCAGCGGCGGGCGTCGAGCGGCGCTCCACCGCCGGCGGCGCCGCCCGGCGACCGCGGCTGCACGCTCAGGCCGGGGTGGTTCGGCCGCACGACCACGGAGAGGTCGGCGACGCCGGCGCCCCACGGGTAGTCGACGAGGAGCTCGGCCGCCATGGTGCTCACGTTGGGGAAGGAGAGACGCAGCGGGGCGCGGGGCACTGGGGCGGGGAGACGGCACGGGGGGTGGGTGGGTAGGTGGGGGGGAGACGACATGGGAGGGGGGACGATGGAGGAGAGATGATGGGGGGGGGGAGATGACACGGGCGGAGGGAGGGAGCAACGGGGGGGGGAGGGGGGAGACAACGAGGGGGGGCGGGGTGAGACGACATTGTGAGGGGGGGGACGATGGGGAAGGGGGGGTGGGAGACGATGAGGGAGGGAGCAACGGAGGGGGGGTGGGGAGTCAACGGGAGGTGGGGAGAGACGACTTGGGGGGGGGGACGATGGGGGAGGGGGGGAGAAACGACGACACAGGGGGAGGGGGGGAGACAACAGGGGGGGGGGGTGAGATGACATTGTGAGGGGGAGGGGACGATGGAGGAGGGGGAGAGAGACGACACAGGGGGAGGGGGGGAGACAACGGGGGGGGGGGGGGGGGCGGGGTGAGATGACATGGGGGGTGAGGAGGTGAGTGCATGACCCGTTCAATAATAAAAAAAATGTTGTCAACACGAAAACAACAAAAAAAGTGTGTCGGGAGCATGAAACCCACGTGTGCGCGCCTGCACGCTCGTCTCGCTCATCAGCTCGGCGCTGTACGTGGTGACGCTGAGCGTGTAGAGCCTCCCAGGCGCCAGCCCGCCAAAGTCCCAGCCCTCCACGGCGGGGGCGCCCAGCTTGCTCTGGTGCAGCGCCTTGTCGTCGGCGCCGTGCAGACGGATCTCGTAGAAGTCGTGGTCTCCAGACGCGGCCGTCCACGCGAAGCGCAGCGAGTCCGTGCTGTTGGCGCCGGTCGAGCGTAGTCCGGTCACCGTCGCTGGCACTGGCGGGGGGCGGGGGGGTCACACGTCAGCGTCCGGTTAGCGCGGTTGACCCATAGACTCACACAGAGACCCACAGAATCATACAGAGACCCATAGACTCACACAGAGACCCACAGAATCATACAGAGACCCATAGACTCACACAGAGACCCACAAACTCACACAGAGCCCCAGAGACTCACACAGAGACCCACAGACTCACACAGAGACCCACAAACTCACACAGAGACCCACAAACTCACACAGAGCCCCAGAGACTCACACAGAGACCCACAGACTCACACAGAGACCCACAGACTCACACAGAGACCCGTAGACTCACACAGAGACCTACAAACTCACACAGAGACCCGTAGACTCGCACAGAGACCCATAGACTCACACAGAGACCCACAGACTCACACAGAGACCCACAGACTCACACAGAGACCCACAGACTCACACAGAGACCCGTAGACTCACACAGAGACCCGTAGACTCACACAGAGACCCATAGACTCAGACAGCGACACATAGACTCAGACAGAGACCCGTAGACTCAGACAGCGACACATAGACTCGCACAGAGACCCGTAGACTTGCACACAGAGACCCATAGACTCACACAGAGACCCGTAGACTTGCACAGAGACCCATAGACTCGCACAGAGACCCACAGACTCACCCAGACACCCACAGACTCACACAGACACCTACAGACTGACACAGAGACCCACAGACTCACACAGACACCCACAGACTCACACAGACACCCACAGACTCACACAGAGACCCACAGACTCACCCAGACACCCACAGACTCACACAGACACCCACAGACTCACACAGAGACCCGTTAACCGAGAACACCGGGCTCAATCCACCCACTGTGGGCCCACGCCCCCCGCCTGGACTCACGCGTTCGCGCCTGCGCCGTGGCGGGCGAGCTGAAGAGGCCGCCGCTCACGGTGAAGACGCGCACGCGGTAGAGGCGCCCGGGTGTGAGGTCGCCGTAGGCGTGCCGGTCCCGCGCCGCCGGCACCAGCTGGCTGGTGATGAGTGTGTCGTTGGGGCTGAGCAGCTGCACCATGTAGTGCTCGGCGGAGCCGTCGCACGGACGCCACCGCACCGACAGCTGTGCCGGGCGGCCGTCGTTGTCCGCGAACACGGACGGCACGCTCGCCGGCACTGAGGTTAGGGGGCGGGGGGTTGGGGGGGTCACACAGCGTAGGCGTGGGGATGATGGTTCGTGGGGGGGGGGGGTTGGGGGAAGAGGGGGGTTGGTTGATAGGGTGAGGGTTCAGGGGATAGTCTATGGGGGATAGTGTCAGGGCTGGGTTACGGTGTGTGGAGGCTAGTCTATAGGGCATTTAGTGTGGGGGTGAGTTTATAGGGGATAGTGTGGGGGTGAGTTTATAGGGGATAGTGTGGGGGTGAGTTTATAGGGGACTAGCTGTACTACCCGGCTTCGCCCGGGACTTGTATCCACCACGCCCAGCTGACTTTGTCTCCCCAGTGGCGATGTTAATACGCCACACCAGTTACTCGTTTTGAGGCTGAGTCCCTCCCTCACCGCTCTCCCTCCCTCACCACTCTCCCTCCCTCACCGCTCTCCCTCCCTCACCGCTCTCCCTCCCTCACCGCTCTCCCCCCCTCACCGCTCTCCCCCCCTCACCGCTCTCCCTCCCTCACCGCTCTCCCTCCCTCACCGCTCTCCCTCCCTCACCGCTCTCCCTCCCTCACCGCTCTCCCTCCCTCACGACTCTGTAAAGGACGTGAAACTTTGATGAATTTACCTCAGAGTCGCGTGGTGGGTGTCGAGGCCTAGCACCGTGCAGAGCCTCCGGCCTCGCCTGATTTTGGCACCCGGCTGACGCTGGGTACGGGTGCCGTTCCCCCCCCCCCCCCCCGCGCTACAATAATACTGTCTAATCGCTATAATTTTATAATCTACCGACCCTATAATAGTAATTGCACACATTGTGGTGGGGGGGGAGTGAAGAGGACGTGAAACTTTGATGAATTTACGTCAGAGTCGCGTGTTAATGCGTGCGCCTATTTTTAAGGGGAATTAAAAATGGCGTCCACCCCGCGCCGAAGGCGTCGCTACCCGTTGCCAGGGGAAACCGCCGTCCAATGAAAGCGGCGAAGGCGTGGCTACCCGTTGCCAGGGGCAACCGCCGTCCAATGAAACTGCAGCCCGTGGCGAAGGCGTCGCTACCCGTTGCCAGGGGCAACCGCCGTCCAATGAAAGCGGCGAAGGCGTCGCTACCCGTTGCCAGGGGCAACCACCGTCCAATGAAAGTGCGTATGGTCCGGCGACACACACACACACACAGACAGACAGATTCGCGATTTTATATACATAGATAGTGTAGGGATGAGTTTATAGGGAATACTGTGGGGGTGAGTCTATAGGGGATACTGTGGCGACGAGTCTATAGGGGATACTGTGGGGGATAGTCTCTAGGGGATAGTATGGGTGCTAGTCTATAGGGGATAGTATGGGCGCTAGTCTATAGGGGATAGTATGGGCGCTAGTCTATAGGGGACAGTGTGGGCGCTAGTCTATAGGGGATAGTATGGGCGCTAGTCTATAGGGGATAGTATGGGCGCTAGTCTATAGGGGATAGTATGGGCGCTAGTCTATAGGGGATAGTATGGGCGCTAGTCTATAGGGGATAGTATGGGCGCTAGTCTATAGGGGATAGTATGGGTGCTAGTCTATAGAGGATAGTGTGGGCGCTAGTCTATAGGGGATAGTATGGGCGCTAGTCTATAGGGGATAGTATGGGCGCTAGTCTATAGGGGATAGTGTGGGCGCTAGTCAATAGGGGATAATATGGGCGCTAGTCTATAGGGGATAGTATGGGCGCTAGTCTATAGGGGATAGTATGGGTGCTAGTCTATAGGGGATAGTGTGGGCGCTAGTCAATAGGGGATAATATGGGCGCTAGTCTATAGGGGATAGTATGGGCGCTAGTCTATAGGAGATAGTATGGGCACTAGTCTATAGGGGATGAGGAGCGAGATGCCCGCCTACCCGTTCTGCCTTCGGCTGAGACGGGGGCGCTGGTCACTCCGCCGCTGGTGGCGGTGACGGCGACGCGGTACGCCGAGCCCGGCACGAGACCCGCGAAGGAGAATTCGGCGTCGCCCGGTTCGGCCGTCGCGTTCACCACCAGCGAGCCGTTGCCGTCGGTGAGGCGCAGCAGGTAGGCGTCCACCTGCGCGCAGTCGTCGCCATCGACATCGTCGTCATCGTCGTCATCATTGTCGTCATCATTGTCGTCATCATTATCATTGTTGTCGTCGTCGTCGTCGTCATCATCGTCGTCATCATTGTCGTCATCATCATCATCGTCGTCATCATCATCATTGTCGTCATCGACATCGTCATCATCGTCGTCATTGTCGCCATCATTGTTGTTGTCATCATAATCATCGTCGTCATCGTCGTCATCATCATCGTCGTCATTGTCGCCATCATTGTTGTCGTCATCATCATCATCGTCGTCATCGACGTTGTCGTCATCGACGTCGTCATCATCGTCATCAGCGAGCCTATTTGGGAGTTGACTGAGCCCATCATCCCTCCGGGGTCGATTAAAAAGTAACGCTTTGTGACATGAGAGTCACTCAAAGTGACCGTGAGTGGTGAGTGCAACAGCCTAGGATCTCGGCGTCCCGGTTCCCAGATCCACACCAGAACATGAGTGGCACATTGTGTCTGGCTGAGTGAGTTGGTGGGTGAGTCAGTTTATGAGTGGGTGGATGGGTGAGTGAATGAGCAAGCAAGTGGGTGAGTGAGTGAGTGAATGTATGAGTGGGTGAGTGCATGAGTGAGCGAGTGGGTGGGTGAGTCGGTTTATGAGTGAGTGCATGCATGAATGAGCGAGTGAGTGGGTGAGTGAGTGAGTGAGTGAATGAATGAGTGTTAAAGTGGATGAGTGAGCGAGTGGGTGGGTGAGTTGGTTTATGAGTGAGTGGATGAATGAGTGACTGAGCGAGCGGTTGAGTGAGTGAATGTATGAGTGCTAAAGTGGATGAGTGAGTGAGAGAGCGGGTGGGTGGGTGAGTGGACGAGCGAGTCGGTGAGCGATCGACTGAGCCCTCTGTGGCGCATCCCACTGTGGCCGATGACGACGACTTTGACTGACACGACGACGTGACAGCACAATTGTGAGACAACTGGAGGCCCTGGTGGGTGTGAGGAGGACCAAGACGAGGTGGAGGATGACGAGGAGGGGGGAGGGGGAAGGTCTGGGCGCTTACCTTGCCGGGCGACGGGCGCCAGCGAGCCATGAGAAGGTCGGTCGAGTAGCGGTTGTCCACCACCAGGTTGCTCACTGTGCCTGGCACTGAGACGCGGAGACACGGGGAGACACGGGGGGACACGGGGAGACACGGGGGACCACAGAGACACGGGGAGACAATGGGGGACCACAGAGACACGGGGACATGGGGACCACAGAGACACACAGAGACACACAGAGACACAGGGAGACACGGGGAGACACGGGGAGACACGGGGGGCCACAGAGACACGGGGAGACATGGGGAGAGGGAACGCCCAGAGAAACATCAGCAACGGACGGGCGTGTGATGACGTTTGCCAAGCGTGGTGCACAGCAGCTTCTGCTGCTGAAGCTGGAAGTCTGTCGACCCAGCGGCCGCCATTAAGGGGGTGGAAGGGGGAAGCTAGAAGCGGAAGAGAGACGGAGAGAGATACGTCCCGAGAAGTTCCGACAAATGCCCTCGGTGCAATGGGAGTCCTGGAGATGCTAGGTATCCTATAGGTTCTAGAGATCTACAGAACGTACATACACTTTGGTTCTTTCGGTAAAGTCATGTAGGTATAAACATTCAGCAGCTCCACTGCTGGATTATATTTTTTTCTGCCTGAGGACGACCGCTTGTGTTGCGATCGAAACGTCGTGATTTCTTTTGTTTTTCTACCTACGTGACTTACCGAAAAAAAACAAAGAGTATGGATTCCTGCAGTCACGAAATCTTCAAATAACGATAATGTACATTTCTGTAGATCTATGGAACCTTCAGGTTCTAGGGTATAGTGGAGATCAAAGAGATCCTGCAGATCCTGAATGTCCTGGCTGCCATATAGACCTTGGAGAATCTTACAGATCTTAGAAGTTCTGCAGGAGACGTAGTTGACCCTAAATACACTTGGCTTTCCCAGAAGCCCGAGATAATCCTGTAGAACTTATAGATCCAGATGATCACAAGATAATCCTGTAGTACCTAGAGATCCAGACGATCCCCAGATAATCCTGTAGGACCTCGAGATCCAGTTGATCCCCAGATAATCCTGTAGGATTAGATATCCATACGATCCAGGGATGAGGCCTGTATATTTAGAGTTTGCTGTGTGTCTCTCTCCCCATGGTCGCGTGAATTTTCCTCCATGTCTTCCGGTTTTTCCCACCACATTTGGAATCGATGTCACACATTTAGAGTATTTGGCTGCTATGAATTTCCACGCGACGAAAAGGCCACTCCATTGAGGCTATCTCTTGCGGCCAGGTCGCGTCTGAAAAAGAAGCTAGTAGTTCAATGTGCCTTACCTGGTAAAATTTAAATCGTGTTCAGTTTTTTTTTTGTCATACACATCGTCGTGGACATCATCGTGATTGGCAGGTACACGCCCGTCATCAACATTGACGTCGTGCGTGAAGAGTAATTGGCTGCTTTACATTTCCACGTCATGAAGATAAGCCACTTCGCCGAGCTATCATTTGCGGCCAGGTCACTTCTGATAAAAGAGCTATAGAGCCCAGTGGGCCTTACCTGGCGAAATCAAAATTAAGTTTAGTTTATGTTTTGGATGTCCTGGCAGCCATAGAAGCCTTAGAAAATCCTGGAGATCTTATGAAGTCCTAGAGGAGATATAGTTGACTTTGAATATCCTCGGCTGATATAGAAACCCTAGGTAATACTGTAGAGCCTATAGATCCAGAAGATCTTCCTCCACCTCCTTCTCTCTCCTTCTCTCCCTCCTCTCCCTCTTCCATCTTCTACTCCCCCTCCTACTCCTCCTCAACCTCCTCCTCTCTCCTTCTCTCCCTCCTCCACCTCCTCCCCTCCCTCTTACTCCTCATCCTCCTCCACCTCCTTCTGCTGCTGCTGTGTTTAGTTTATAGTCCTTCCCCCGCACCTCCGATTGGCCACGGTTGGCTACGTACGGTGAAAAAGAAGTTCAACGTACACACACACAGACATAGAGGAGGCCCCGCGGAGGACGGTGCACGGGCACCGGCGGCTCACCGGTTCTGCCGGTGACGACCTCGGGTTCCCCGCTGAGCGCGCCGCTCACGGCGGCGACGGCGACGCGGTATTCGTGGCCCGGCGCCAGCCGCCCCACGGTGGCGTTGGTGGCGCCGGGCGGCAGCGTGAGGTTGCGCTCGGTCCCGGCGGCACCGACCCCACCCCCGCCGCCGCTGCCCCCGAGCGGAGGCCACAGCGACACCAAGTAGGAGGTGACGTCGCCCGGCGCCGGGGACCACGTGACGGAGAGCGAGCGCGAGTCCAGCCCGACGGCCGCCAGCGCCCGCACGGAGCCCGGAGCTGAGCGTGGCGCGGAGTGGTGGGCGATGTAGAGATGTGGGCGACGTGGCGATGTGGGCGATGTGGAGAGGTGGGCGACATGGGAGACGCGGAGAGGTGGGCGATGTGGAGAGGTGGGCGATGTGGAGACGTGGGAGACGCGGAGAGATGGGCGATGTAGAGATGTGGGAGATGTGGAGACGTGGGAGACGCGGAGAGGTGGGCGATGTGGAGAGGTGGGCGATGTGGAGATGTGGGAGACGCAGAGAGGTGGGCGATGTGGAGAGGTGGGCGATGTGGAGACGTGGGAGATGCGGAGAGGTGGGCGATGTGGAGAGGTGGGTGATGTGGAGAGGTGGGCGACGTGGAGATGTCGGCGATGTCGATGTGGAGAGGTGGGCGATGTGAAGATGTGGGAGATGTAGCGATGCGGGTGACGTGGAAACGTAGGAGACGTGTAGATGTGGGCGATGTGAAGAGGTGGGCGATGTGGAGAGGTGGGCGATGTGGAGACGTGGGAGACGTGGCGACGTGGAGATGTGGGAGACGTGGAAGACGTGGGAGACGCGAGGGACAGAGGGAGGTGGAGAAACGGGGGGGGACGCGGGGAAGTGGGGGGAAATTATAGGATACACTTTGTTTTACCCCAGGATAGCCTCACTGAGTCTCGTGACTCTTCTTTCAAGAGGGTCCTGCCAGCTTTTCGCAGTTGGGGGCGACGCTGCTGCTGCTGCTACTGTCTGTGGTCCCAACTGAGTGATTTTTGCAGGACATTTCTCAGCATTTTGATGTTTTGGCTTATACCGGTTACATTGTATGGGGGGTGGGGGGTAGGGAGGGGTGGAGGGAAGGGGTTAGCCAAGGGTAGAGGAAACCCAAGCAGACCAGGGGGAGAACGTGTAAACTCCACACACAAACAAACTCGCAAAGACAAAGATCCCCCGTATAGCCTCAACAGACTGTCTCCCCGGTGGCGATGTTTACACATCGCAGCAGGTACTCATTGGAGGCTGAGTCGACCTAGGGGAGGGCCGAGGACCGGTTCAGATCATCGTCACCGGTGTTGGCCGTGAGCGGGAATCGAACCTGGGTCGCCGGGTTCGTAGCGCAGCGCACACACACATAGCTCCACACATTGGGGAACCCGAGTCGGGAATCGAACCCAGGTCCGTCAACCCCTACCCCCCCGCCCGCCACCGTCGTCGCCGTACCCGTCTGTGCCGCGATGCTCGCGGTGCGCCGCTCCTGGCCGCTCCATGTGGTGACACTCGCGTTGTAGACGCGCCCCGGCGCCAGCTCGCGCGCCACGTAGCCGTCCGACGAGCTGGGCAGGCTCGCCGGGTCGGCGCCACCGCCGCCGCCGGGCGACACCGACGCCACCAGCCACACCTCGACCCGATCGGCGTCGCCCGCCGGAGGGTCCCAGCGCAGCAGCAGGCGGTCCGTTGAGCGCTCCTCGACGCGCAGGCGGGACACCGCAGCCGGCTCTGCGGCCGGTGCCGGATAGGGGGGAAGGGGGGGTGGGAGGGAAAAATATCGGCGTCGACGGAGGTAGCGTCGTGATAGTCACCAAGAGCAGAACCGGCAGCAGCAGCGGCATCAGAAGCACCAGTTTGGTGTCCTTCCCCCGCACCTCCGATAAGCACGGTGGGCTACGTATGGCAGCAGCGCCAGCAGCAGTACAATCAGCATCAACAGCACCTTTAGCATCGCTAGGACCATTACCATCAGCATCACCAGCACCTTTAGCATCGCTAGTAGCATAACCATCAGCATCACCAGCAACTTTTAGCATCGCTAGGAGTATTACCATCAGCAGCAGCAGAAGCATGAGCATCATCTTCAGCAGACGACATCATCGCCATCATCGTCGTCATCATCGCCTTAACGTCGACAACAAGTAAAGCAGCATGATTGACAAAGTGAAAGATCACCCGTGTAGCCTTAACAGACTGTTGGGGCAAGTGCTGTGAGCGAGCACCTATGAAGGCCGGCACTGTGGCACACGAGGGGGTGGGTGGCCAGCAGCACGCCCGGCCGCCTTTGCCTCCCCAGCGGCGATGTTCACACACCGCACCAGGTACTCCATTTGAGGCTGAGTCGACCTAGGCGAGGCCCAGGAGCGGTTCAGATAATCGTCACCGGTGTCCGCCATGAGCGGTGAATCGAACTCGAGACAACAACCGCCATTCGCCACTCAGTGGCGGTGACGTCACCACGGCGCTTGTGCCAGGCTAGGCGCACGTTGAGGCTACGTGAAGCGTCGAACGCCCGCTGGCAGGAGGTCACGTGGCAGACCCCCAGCAGGTGCCACGGGGTCGACCGACCGAGATGACCGACGACTCGCTGCGTTTTAGCTGTAGTAATAGGGTTTTACCCTTTCAACTGGTACAAAAACTGACACCTTTATACAAGGGATCATGTTTGCAATCACCACAACACAAGCAGTCAAAATGCAAACAAAAAGAAATAACTCTGATAATGATAATGACATGCACTGTCCTTGAAGTTGATTGGTCCACACCCAAGACAGCTTTTCTTAGAGCCCAGTCTCCATTGGTGTTGGACCAGATGACGCCAAAAGGCGGAAGGTGCAGGAATATTTTGCCACTGGCAAAGGAGGTCTCATCGTGCGTTTTAGCTGCCCCGGCGCTCCGCTCGTCGTTGTGAGCACGCACGTCCCCCCCTCCCCTCCCCCCGGGACTCACGCGTCTTGCCGTAGGCCACGGCGGCAGCGTCGTAGGGGCCGCTGCGCGTGACCACGGTGAGCGCGTAGCGGCGGCCCGGCGTCAGTCGCCGGAAGGTGCAGCCGGTGCCGTCGCGGGCCACCGTTTCGCTGCGCACCGCCTCGCCCTCGTGACGCAGCGCCACCAAGAAGTCGTCGTAGTCCCCGGCGGGACGCACCCACGACGCCACCAGGCCGGCGCCGGCGCCGCCCTCGTTCTGGTTGCGCACCGCCAGGTTCCGCACCTCCGCCGGCACTGGTGGTGGTGGTGGTGGTGGACACCGCGGGCGATGGTTTGGTTAAACAAAAGAAAGGCAGGACGGCATCTGCCGGTGTTTACAATGATAACGGCGATGGTACGGGTACGGGTACCCGTTTGCGACCCTGGTGCGGCCGGGTACGGGTAGGCCGTGAGTCACTGGTGAGTAACAGTTTGTCACTCATTTCCAAACGTCTTGTCTCTTCTCACAATTCAAGTTCCTAGAATCAACCCACCCACGCCTGCAACATGGCTTCATCCCAGAGGTCGCAATCAGGTACCCGATACCCGTACCCTAGGGGGTGGTGGTGGTGGTGGACGGGGTGGTGGTGGTGGTGGTGGAGGGGGTGGTGGTGGTGGTGGAGGGGGTGGTGGTGGTGGTGGAGGAGGAGGTGGTGGTGGTGGTGGATGAAGAGTGGGTGGTGGTGGTGGATGGGGTGGTGGTGGTGGTGGAGGGGGTGGTGGTGGTGGTGGAGGGGTGGTGGTGGTGGATGGGGTGGTGGTGGTGGAGGGGGTGGTGGTGGTGGTGGAGGAGGAGGTGGTGGTGGTGGTGGAGGAGGAGTGGGTGGTGGTGGTGGATGGGGTGGTGGTGGTGGTGGAGGGGGTGGTGGTGGTGGTAAAGGGGTGGTGGTGGTGGATGGGGTGGTGGTGGTGGTGGTGGTGGAGGAGGTGGTGGTGGAGGGGTGGTGGTGGTGGTGGTGGTGTTGGAGGAGGAGGAGGTGGTGGTGGTGGAGGGGGCGGTGAAGGTGGTGGTGGAGGAGGTGGTGGTGGTGGTGGAGGAGGATAGAGGGGGTGGTGGTGGTGGAGGTGGTAGTGGTGGTGGTGGTGTGTGCGCATCTCACTGGTCCGCTCCTCCGTGACGACGTCGCTGTGCGCGTCGCCAGCCCAGGTCTCGATGGTCACCGAGTAGGCGCTTCCCGGCGTCAGCTGCCGCAGCTCGAGCTCCGTCGTGTCGTTGGCGAGCTGAGCGGCGCCGCGGCTCGCGCCGCCTGTGGCAGAGGTCGGCGAGGCGGTGACCCCCCAAAGAGCGACAAGACGAAGATACCCCCCCACCACCACCACCACCACCCCGTGTAGCCTTAACAGGGCTGGTCCTAATAAATGAAACTTGAACTTGAAAACTTGAACAGAGCGTTGGGGCAAGTGCTGTTAGCGAGTCGCGGCAAGCTGTAAAGGCCAAGAGGGCACAGGCGAGGGGTGTGGGTAGACAGCACCCACGCCCGGCCGCCTTTGTCTCCAAAACGCTGATGTATGCACATCGCACCAGGTAGCCTTAACAGGGCGTTGGGGCAAGTGCTGTTAGCGAGTAGCAGTAACGTGTGAAGGCCGGCACGGTGGGACACGAGAGAGGGGGGGGAGGCTAGCGGCCAGAAACCACGGCCCGGCCGCCTTTGTCTCCCCAGTGGCGATGTTTAGACACCGCACCAGGTACTGACTCAATCTAGGGGAGGCCCAGGACCGGTTGCGATAATCGTCACTGGTGTTGGCAGCGCTACCGCTACACTACAGCACAACCACCAACAACAACCGTCATTCGCCAGTAAGCGGCGGTGATGTCACCATGGCGCTTGTGCCAGGCTATGTGCACGTTAAGGCCACGTGAAGTGTCGAACGCCCGCTGGCAGGAGGTCACGGGTGCCATGGGTCGACTGACTGAGACGACTGGGCTGATGCACCACCTGGGCCCTCTACTGTGCCAACTTGCTGTGTTTTAACCGCCTGGCACTACCAACACAAACATCGCCCCCACTACAACCCCTACCACCAGCACCACCACCAACACCGTCACCACTACCACCACCGTCACCTACTACTAGCACCACTACTAGCATCAGCATGCCCACCAACAGCATAAATACCATCACCACCAGCAAGCATTGCCAGCAATATCACCGCTACCACCATGAGCCCTGCCACAAGCACCACTACCACCAATATCACCACCACTAACACTATCACCAATATCACCACCACCAACACCACTACCACCAATATCACCACCAACACCACCACTACCACCAACACCACCAACACCACTACCACCAATATCACCAACACCACTACCACCAACACTACCACCAATATCACCACCACCAACACCACTACCACCAATACCACCACCACCAATACCATTACCACCAATACCACCACCAACACCACTGCCACCACCAATATCACCAATACCAGCACCACCACCAACAGCACCACCACCATCACCACCATCAGCGACAGCACCACCAGCACCACCACTACCAGCACCACCACCACCATCACCGACAGCACCACCACCAGCACCACCACTACCAGCACCACCACCACCACCATCACCGACAGCACCACCATCACCCGCACCACCACTACCACCACCACCATCACCGACAGCACCACCACTACCACCACCACCACCATCACCGACAGCAGCAGCAGCAGCAGCGGCGGCAAGCCCCGTGAGCGGCACCTTGCGTGGTGGCGCCGGGCCGCTTGGACACGGCCTCCCAGCGCACGGCGTAGCGGTCGACGTCGCCCGCGGCCGCGGTCCACGTCAGGCGCAGGCCGTCCTGGCGCCGCTCGGCCACGCGCACGCCAATCACTGCGGCCGGGTCTGCGCGCACGGCACAGACACACGGGAGAGACACGCTGCAGTGATATAGGAGAAACACGGCAGAGGCACGCGGCACAGACACACGGGAGAGACACGTGGCAGTGATACACACGGGAGAGACACACGGCAGTGATACAGGAGAAACACGGCAGAGGCACACGGCACAGACACACGGCAGTAGCATGGCAGCGAAACGACGCATCTCATGTGGTGGGGGGTGGTGGGTGGGTGGCAGTGCGTGGGTTGGTGGGTAGGTGGCGGTGGGTGGAGGGTGGGTGGGTAGTGTGTGAGTGGGTGGAGCGTGGGTGGGTGGGTGGTGCGTGGTGCGTGGGTGGGTGTTGCGTGGGTGGGTGGGCGGTGCGTGGGTGGTGCGTAGGTGGGTGTGTGCGAGGTGCGTGAGTGGGCGGTGCATGAGTGAGTGCTGCGTGGGTGGGTCTTGCGTGGGTGGGTGGGTGGTGCGTGGATGGGTGTGTGCGAGGTGCGTGGGTGGGTGGTGCGTGGGTGGGTGGTGCGTGGATGGGTGTGTGCGAGGTGCGTGAGTGGGCGGTGCATGAGTGGGTGTTGCGTGGGTGGGCGGTGCGTGAGTGGTGCGTGGGTGGGTGCTCCGTGGTCGGGCGGCGCGTGCGCGTGCGGTCACCCACGCGTCTGCGCCGCCACGGCGCTGCGGTTGCAGTAGGTCCCGCTGCACGTCTCCACGGAGACGGTGTAGACGCGGCCGGGCACCAGCGACCACACGGACGTCTCGGTCACCCAGCGCGGCTGCTCCTGGCTGTAGACGGCCTCGCCGCCACCGCCAGCCCCGCCGCGTCGCACCGTCAGCCGGTACCGGTCTACGACCCCGACCGCGGGTGGAGCCCACGAGACGCGCAGGAGGTCCCCGCGGCCAGCGTTGGTCGCAGCCACGTCCACCGCGCTACCGGGGACTGCGGTGGTCGGGGGGGCGGAGAGGGGGGGGGTCAGGTGAGGGGCGATGGGCGAGCACCACTCGCTTTGGCCGGGGGGGGGGGGGGTGAGAGGAAGGAGGAGGAGTTGAGAGATGATTGGAGAGAGGGGGGTGGAGTGAGGAGGACAGCTGACATCGGAAGAGTCCCTTTGGCTCAATCTGCAGAAGGGCACGGAGATGGTTGGGATGAGGTGTGGGGTCATTGAAGCCAGCGCCGTGAGCCGGCTTCAATGCCCACCCAACGACCCACCTACTCATCCACCAAACCAACCAACCACCCACCCAACCACCCACCCAACCAACCACCCAACCAACCAACCAACGACCCACCGACCAACCCACCTACTCAGCCACCCGACCACCCACCCATCCACCCAACAAAACCACCCATCCAACCACCCATCCCCCCATCCACCCACCCAACCACCCACCCTCCCACCCATTCACCCACCCACCCACCCAAACCACCCACCCAACCACCCATCCACCAATCCGCTCAAACCCAACCCAACCCACAAACCCCAACCAACCCACCCGTGAGCTCCGACACGGAGGCGGTGGCCGCGCGGCCCCCGCTGAGCGCCGCCACCTGCACCAGGTAGCGGCCCCCCGGCACGAGCCCCCCGAAGGAGTGCTCCCGCGCCCCCGGCGGCAGCGACGCCTCCGTCACCAGCGACTTCCCGCGCAGCAGGGAGACGCGCAGGCCGTCCACGTCGCCCGCCGGCGGGCCCCAGCTCACGCGCAGCGAGTCCACCGCCCCGCCGTTGTCCGCCCGCAGGTCCGGCACCGGGGACGGCACTGACCGGGGGACGGGGGGAGGGGGTTACGGGGGGGAGAAGGGGGGAAGGTTTTTAGAAGCGACCTGGCCACAAATGATGATAGCTCGACGCAGTGGCTTATCATCGTCGCGTGGAAATTCAAACCTTAAACACGTGGCGTTGATTTGTTTATTTTTTACGTGGAGGGAAAAGCAAACTCCAAATATACAGCAGCAGGCGTCAGGGTCGGGACCGAACCTGCGACCTCCTGTATACCAGGCGAGGTAGTTAACATCTCCTAGCCACCGTGATGATGATGAGAGAGAGAGAGACACGCAAACTCCAAATATACAGCAGCAGGTGTCAGGGTCGGGACCGAGCCCACGACCTCCTGTATACCAAGCGAGGTAGTTAACATCTCCTGGCCACCGTGATGATGATGAGACTCGCAAACTCCAAATATACAGCAGCAGGCGTCAGGGTCAGGATCGAACCAACGACCTCTTGTACACCAGGCGAGGTAGTTAACATCTCCTAGCCACCGTGATGATGATGAGAGACGCAAACTCCAAATATACAGCAGCAGGCGTCAAGGTCGGGATCGAACCCACGACCTCCTGTGTACCAGGCGAGGTAGTCAACATCTCCGAGCCACCGTGATGATGATGAGAGACGCAAACTCCAAATATACAGCAGGCGTCAGGGTCGGGACCGAACCCATGACCTCCTGTATACCAGGCGAGGTAGATAACATCTAACCACCGCAGCAGAAGAAAGAGCATTCCAGACGGCCGCACGCGGGCGCGATGCCCGCGACCGCCGCCGCTGCCGCCGCTGCTAAAGCAACGGCCGGAGTTCGCGCGACGATGCTTTATCGCTCCTTCACGAGATCGGCGGCGGGGTGCTATTTAAGTCTATAGGTCTCTATGCAAATCTATGTATCTCTGTGTACGTGTATGGTTCTGTGTGTCAGTCTATGGGTCTCTGTGCAAGTCACTAGTGACCAGGCTGAGATCGTTGACGTACAACACTTGAGACCCCGTTGTAATCGCAGTCCAGTCTAGGTAAATCTGTGGCTCGCTACGTAGGACCCTAGGTCTCTGTGTGAGTCTATGGATTTCTATATGAAAATATGGGTCGATATCTAAATTCATCGAAGTCTACGAGCATCAACAAATCCACCATCATCATCGGCATCGCGAGTGGTCATCAGCAAAATTGTCGTCAGCACGGCGATCGTCCTAAAGAGGTGCTCGCTAACACCTTCAGCCCCTTCAGTCTACACATCTGCCCAGCCGCCAACCTGCCAACCTGCCAGCCACCTGCCCACTGACTCACCTGCCAGCACACCAGCCTGGCCACTAGCCTGGCCACGCACCTACCAGCCCACCCACCTGCCAGCCCACCCACCTACCAGCCCACCCACCTACCAGCCAACCCACCTACCAGCCCACCTACTTGCAAGCCTACCCACCTACCAGTCCGCCGACCTGCCAACCCACCAGCCTGCCCATGCATCTGCCAGCCCACCCACTTGCCAGCCTGCCTACCTGCCTACCTGCCCACCAGCCTGGCCACCCACCTGCCAGCCCACCCCCCTACTAGCCCACCCACCTACCAGCCCACCTGCCTGCCAGCCCACCTGCTAGTTCATCCGCCTACCAGCCTGCCTACCTTCCAGCCCAGCCGTTTGCCCACCCGCCTACCTGCAAGCCCACCCACCTACCAGCCCGCCTACCTGCCAACCCACCAGCCTGCCCATGCACCTGCCAGCCAGCTAGCCCACCTTCCTGCCAGCCCACCAGCCTGCCAGCAAATCCATCTGCCCGCCCTCCTGCCTGCCCGCCCCCATGCCAGCCATCCAGCCCGCCTGCCAGCCAAACCGCGCCTGCCCATGCGCTTGCCAGTCCCACCCCAGCCCCTGGCCCCGCGGCGATGCTCACGGGTCCTGGCCGACACGGATGAGAAGCTGCTGAGGTTGCCGCTGATGGTGAAGACGAGGATGAGGTAGAGGCGGCCCGCTGTGAGGTTGTGGAACACCGTCTCCGTGGCTTCTCGGGGCAACGTCCGCTCGTGGAGGTCTCGGCGTTCTGGCTGGACTTCTTGATGCCCTTGCTGGACATCTTCACGTCCTTGCCGGACGTCTTGACGTACCGCATGGAGGTCTGGATGTCCTTGCTGGAGGTCTGGACGTCCTTGTTGGAGGTCTGAACGTCCTTGCTGGACATCTGGACGTCCTTGCCGGAGGTCTGGACGCTGCAGACGGACATCTCGGCGCCGCGGCTGATGGTCCTGACGTTCCGATTGGAGGTCCGGACGTCCCGACTCGGGGCTGTCACGTGCCGGCGGAAGGCCTCGAGGCTCGGGCAGGAGGCGTTCTGGTGCTGGCCGGAGGTCCGCTTGGGCCTCGGGCGCGTGCAAGAGGACGCGGTACGTGTCCAGGTCGGAGGGGGGCCGCATCCACGCGATGCTCACGCCGCTCATGCTCACGTTGTGCACGCGGAGGTCGGAGACAGCCAGCGGAACTGGAGATGCGCAGAAGCAACGGGGACGGGGAGACAGCGGATGGGGAGATGGCAAGAGAGGTCAGTAAGGGTGTGCGAGATAAATGGACGACGATGATGATGATGATGACTCGGATCAGACCGTCCTGATGATCTTCTTGGTACTTTCGGTAAAGTCACGTAGAAGGGAAATAATACAATAAGAAAAATGAAACATAATAAAATACAATTCTCACGACGTTTCGACCACAACGCAAGCAGCCGTCCTCAGGTGAAGAACAGGGCTGTCGGAAAGACAGCGTCTGAATGATGTCTTTCCGACAGACCTTTTCTTCACCTGAGGACGGCTGCTTGCGTTGTGGTCGAAACGTCATGAGAATTTTATTGTTTAATTTGTATTTTTATTATTTTATTATTTCCCTTCTATGTGACTTTACCGAAAGAACCTAGAAGATGAATCCCTGCAGTCGTGAAAGCTTTGAATCGAAATTTATCCTGATGATGATATCATGGTGACATCATTATGATGATGATGATGATGCAGGCGGTGGTGCCTATACTGCACGTGACTGCCCATGATCTGCGGAGGCAGCTAAGGGTTGGTGGATCACCCTCGCACAAATGTTGAGAAGAAGGGCTGTTGCATGCGTGGCTTGCCTCCGGCTGCTCCGGGTATCCACCCGGGCAAACATTGCGCTTTGGAGCCACGCACACAGAGAACGTGTTGGCTAGCGCCCGGCTCGGGCAGCCACCTTCCCGAAGCGCCCGTCTGCGGCTCACCCGCGCCCCCCGAGTCTACGGGCACTGGCCCCCGCGCGCTCGTTACAACTCCCGACGACGATTCTACCGCCGGCCCAAGCGGCGACAACGACGACGACGACGACGACGAACGTCACCCACCGGCGCGCGTCTCCTCGCAGGCCCTCGCCATCTGTCCCCGGGCGTGCGTGTCCACGCACACGCGGTACGCCCGTCCCGGGTACACGCCGGGCACCGTGAACCGCAGCCGTCCCGCCTCCTCCGTCCCGTCCTTCCCGCCCGGGGGCCGCCGGCAGGGCACGGCGTGGCTGGAGAGGAGCTCGCCGCTGGCCGCAGGACAGCAGGCTCAGCTCGCAGCGGGAGGCGCGGCCGCGGGCGGCCAGCCACGAGACGGAGGCCTCGCGGCTCGAGGAGTTCACGGCCAGGTCGCTCGCGGGGGCCGGCGCTGAGAGGGGAAAGGGGGGGACCACACACGGGGGGGGGGGGGGATATCAGCCGGGTGCCCTGGTTACCTGCCGATAACCCCGTGATCAAGCTTCAAGTTTCAAGTTAATTTATTAGGAGTAGCCCTGTGAGCCATTCGGCTCTTGAATCTGGTGCAACCGCAACAAACAGAAAACAAAAACATGAACAAGAAAACATCTTAAAGTGACTATGTGCAAACAGAAAATCCAAGAAAAGACAGCAAAATATTGCAGAAAAAGCACCGTACACCAACGCTGTGTGCAAAAATCCCAGAGGGATGCAAGTCAAACAACACTCAACCACAAGACAACTTAGATTAAGGCCATCAGTCTAACTCTGTATCATCAGTCTAACTCTGTACTACAACAAACAAACATGGCCAAACCATGAAAGTCGATTTGGGAAAAAGCAAAGACAAAAATCCCCCCCCCCTCCGCATGTTTAGCCTTAACAGACTGTTGGGGCGCTCCTAGAGAGGGTGCTGTATTTGGCCTACTCTTTCATGCTGGTCAGACGTCTTGTAGGACGTGGTAGCACCCACACGTTGTCTCGTTTGAGCCGAGAGGCACATTCGGCTGGACACGTTTCGACAAACATCACCCGTGCAGCCATATAGCAGACTTTTGGGATAAGGGCTGCGAGCGAGCAGCTATGAAGGCCAGCACGGCGGCACGTGAGGGCCGGGCGGGTGGCCAGCGCCACTTGTCGGCCTTTCTTTTGTCTCCCCAGTGCCGACGTTTACACGCCGGAGAGGCACCCAAAGTCTAGCTGCGGAACGACGCCGCACCGGTCCTGCCCGGTGCTTCCAGAATTCCGGCGTCAGCACCGGTAGTCACGTGGCCCGGTGAGTGCCGCCCCCCCCCACCAATCCCACCATCCCTCCGGCGGGCCCCCCTCACCTGCGCTGCCTCTGCCGACGCTGCCGACGCTGGCGTCTCCGCTCACGACGCTCACCGTCACCGCGTACTCGCGGCCCGGCTCGAGGTCCCGGAACCGGCAGCCGAGGTCGCCGACGGCCGTCGCCGGCACGGACAGCGAGCGCAGCGGCGGAGCCGGCGAGGACGGCACCGCCGCCGCCACCGCCGCCGCGCCGGCCTCGGCTTCGTCCGGGGTCGCCGGCCGCACAACGACGTCGTAGCGGTCGGCGTCGCCGGGGGTCGCGGTCCAACTCACGCTCAGCTCGCCCGGCGAGGGGCCTCCGGTCACGGCGAGCCACGGGACGGGCGCCGGATCTGGAGCCCGTGGGGGCGACACGGACGGGAGGACGAGGAGGAGGTGGGTGGAGGAGGGCGGGAGGGAGGGCGGGAGGGAGGAGAGGCGGAGAATGGCCACCGAGGTGGTCTCGCGTCAGCCCCTGGCCCGCCGATACGCTGGCAGATCACGCGCCGGTGGGGTTGTACGCCAAAGGGATCGCCACACCAATGGGATCATACACCAGCAGGATCGCACATCCGTGGGACCTTTGGCGTGACCGTACCTGCGCGGTACGTGACCACCGCCTCGCTGTGCACGCCGCCACCGCTGCCCAGCACGGAGCGCACCGACACGGCGTAGGCCCGGCCCGGCGTGACGTCGCGCAGGGCCCACTGGCGCGTCGACGGTGGCAGCGAGGGGCTGTCCCGCGAGGGGCCCGACCCCCCCGCCGGGAAGGGGGCCGTCGCCGCGGCTGCTCGCACCACCAGGGCGTCCGCGCGGCCATCGGGGGCCTCCCACGAGACGAGGGCCGTGCCCGGGCCGCCGGGGCCCGCCGTCACGCGGAGGGACCGCACGGGGGCGGGCACTGTCGCGCAGACACGCGGGGGGGGGGCCCGTGGAGAAGGTGCGTACGTGTGCGTGGTGCGTGCGTGTGTACGCTGAACTTCTTTCGCACCATACATAATCGGAGGTGCGGGGGAAATACAAAAAACTGTAGGTCTCAGTGTGAGACTATGGGTCTCTGTGTGAGTCTGTGGGTCTTTGTGTGAGTCTGTGGGTCTCTGTGTGAGTCTGTGGGTCTCTGTGTGAGTCTATGGGTGTCTGTGTGAGTCTGTGGGTCTCTGTGTGAGCCTATGGTTCTCTGTGCGAGTCTATGGGTCTCTTTGTGAGTCTGTGGGTCTCTGTGTGAGTCTGTGGGTCTCTGGGTGAGTCTATGGGTCTCTGGGTGAGTCTATGGGTCTCTGTGTGAGTATATGGGTATCTGTGTGAGTCTATGGGTCTCTGTGTGAGTCTATGGGTTTCTGTGTGAGTCTGTGGGTCTCTGTGTGAGTCTGTGGGTCTCTGGGTGAGTCTACGGGTCTCTGTGTGAGTCTGTGGGTCTCTGTGTGAGTCTATGCGTCTTCGTGTTTGTCTATGGGTCTCTGTGTGAGTCTGTGGGTCTCTGTGTGAGTCTGTGGGTCTCTGTGTGAGTCTATGGGTCTCCCTAAGTGGCGATGTTTTACACACCGCACCGGACACACACACGAACACACGCGCACGAACACATGCGCACGAACACGCACAGACGAGCGAGCGGAGAAGTGTGAACTCACACGTGGTGGCCTCGACGCGCGCCCACGCTCCCTGGCGGTCCCCGGCTTGCGCCCGCACGGACACCTCATATCTGGTGCCCGGGCTCAGACGGCCCACGGTGGCCGTCAGCGGCAGGGCGGCGGCGGCGGCGTTGGTCGCGGCGGCCTCCACCACCTCGGCGACGGCCCGGCCGGGGGGCCCGTTGGGCTCCTTGGCCTCGGCGAGCACCTCGTAGCTGTGGGCGGCGCCGGGCGGCGGGAGCCACGACACCGTGAGGCTGCGTTCCGTCGTCGCGTCGCGCAGGACGTGCAGCCGAGATACGGCTTCGGGCACTGGCGGGCGGGCGGGCCGGCGGGTGGAGCCAGGCGGTCACAGGCGTGCGGGAGCGGGCGAGAGAAGGCGAGAGGATGAACAACAACAAAGAATTCATTTTCTTGGTTCTTTCGGTAAAGTCACGTAGAAGGGAAATAATAAAATAATACAAATATAACATAATAAAATACAATTCTCACGACGTTTCTGCCACAATGCAAGCAGGCGTCCTCAGGTGAAGAATAGGGCTGTCGGAAAGACAGCGTCTTATCGACAGACCTGTTCTTCAGCTGAGGACGGCTGCTTGCGTTGTGGCCGAAACGTCGTGAGAATTGTATTTTATTATGTTTCATTTTTATTATTTTATTATTTCCCTTCTACGTGACTTTACCGAAAGAACCAAGAAGATGAATCCCTGCAGTCACTAAAGCTTTAAATCGAAACAACAAAGAAACCCAACAACCGCCATGGGCAGCGAGCGGCGTGGGGTTCCACCGTGCCGCCGCGCTCTGAATCTGCTGCGCGACGCTCGTGGGCCCGGACTGTAGTTTGCCCGGGGGGCTTACAGAGCGATGTTCTGCTGTGATGAATATCGTTTATGCACTGCGCAGACACACACGCAGTCACACGCACACACGCAGACACACACGCACGCAGACAGACACACACACACGCACGCAGGCACACACGCAGACACACACGCGCAGACACACACGCAGACACACACACGCAGACACACACACACACACACGTACGCACACACACACACACGCGCGCTAGCGCACGGCGAACTCACCGGTGCGGATGGGCAGACTGGCGGCGCTGCCGACACCTCGTGCGGGACGCACGTCCACTCTGTAGGCGCTGCCCGGTCGCAGGTCACTCAGAGGGCACGAATACATGGGGACAGCGCCAGCGGCAGCAGCAGACGATGCTGCTGCAGCCTCTCTTCCTCCTCCTGCTCCACCTTTTCCACCTCCTCCTCCTGCATCGCAGTCGGCCAGCTGAGAGTCGAACCCATCCTCCCCAACGTAGCGGGCGGTGAAGGAGCAGCCGGGGCTGACCGCCGACCACGTAAGCAGCGCGCCGCGCAGGAAGACATCCGCGGTCAGGTGGTGGACGCCGCAGTCGGGCTGGGGCGTTGGGGTCGACGCGGCCGTGGTTGTGGCCGTGGTGGTTGTTGTTGGTGGTGGTGGTGGTGTTGTAGTTGTTGCGGTTGTTGTTGGAGTTGTGGTTGTTGTCGGGGAGGCGGCTGCGGTGGTGATAGGGATGGGTTGCGTTCTCTGCAAGGGTGGGAGAGTGGTGGGTGAGCGGTGGGTGAGCAGGTGGGTGAGCGGTGGGTGAGTGGTGGGAGAGTGGTGGGAGAGCGGGTGGCAGAGTAGTGGGTGAGCGGGTGGGTGAGCGGTGGGTGAGTAGGTGGGTGAGCGGTGGGTGAGTGGTGGGAGAGTGGTGGGAGAGCGGGTGGCAGAGTTGTGGGTGAGCGGGTGGGTGAGCGGGTGGGTGAGTGGTGGGAGAGTGGTGGGAGAGCGGGTGGGAGAGTGGTGGGTGAGCGGGTGGGTGAGCGGGTGGGTGAGCGGTGGGTGAGTGGTGGGAGAGTGGTGGGAGAGCGGGTGGCAGAGTAGTGGGTGAGCGGTGGGTGAGCGGTGGGTGAGTGGTGGGTGGTGGGAGAGTGGTGGGTGAGCGGTTGTGACGTCACATCAAAATGCGCAACTTCATAAATAAATATGGACAACACGTTCTACTTAACTAAATAGACTTTTTGATAAATGTTCTCTCCTACAACATCAGAGTTCAGAGTGCAGGGCGCATTAAATACGCACTATAATGACAATAGTTTAAAGCGATTTGAAGCACGTTTTTTTTTGGGGGGGGGGGACAGAACTTTGTGACGTCATATTTGAGGGGGGGGGGTCTGACTTTTTGTGACGAGGGGGGGGGGGTCAAAAATCGTCAAAATTGCGTGACGTCATTTATGGACGGCCCCTAAACCATTTTATATTTGACCAGATAAGGCCACGCTGAGATACGGAGCTTTTATATTTCAAAAGCGACCTGGCCATTACAAACAACGGCTCAACGAAGTGGCTTTTATCATCGTCGCGTGAGAATGTTCAACAGCAGTCAGATACTCTAAACGCGTGTTTATAAATGTGGAGGAAAAAACCGGAGGAACGCCGGAGAAAAATCCACGCGACCACGGGGAGAGAGAGAGAGAGACGCAAACTCCAAATATACAGCAGCAGCAGGCGTCAGGGTCGGGAACCCACGACCTCCTGTTACCAGGCGAGGTGGTTAACATCTCCTAGCCACCGTGATGATGATGAGAGACACAATCTCCAAATATACAGCAGGTGTCAGGGTCGCGATCGAACCCACCACGACCTCCTGTTACCAGGCGAGGTGGTTAACATCTCCTAGCCACCATGGCACCGTGCTGCTGCTACTGCTACTAATCGTGCCACTCCACAAATTATTTGTCGGGCGATGGAGGCCACGGCAAATTGTCGTGGCCAAAATTTGTGTCTCGAGGCACCTTCGTCACCCGACGCAAAGACGCGTCAAATCGTCACGTGGTGTAACGAGTGCTCGGCAACGCGGCAAAATGCCGCAACGACGAGTTTCAAGGACAATTCTCTGAGCGATAACGAAATAAATTAAAAAAAACTTCACTTGACGCGCGGCGTTCGCGCAACGAGTTTTCGCGATGCATTCACCAGGTCGCCGTTATACTCCGCGGGGCATCTGCCTAAGAGAGCTTCACAGCTCAGCGGATTCTTCCAGTTTCAATAAATGTTCCGATTCTGAGGTTCTTCTACGTCGGCCTCAGCCTCAAAATTTAACCCGTAAAAACTAAGTTTTTCACTATAAATCCTTTATATGCGTGGCGGCTAGAGTCCTCTCGTCCTCTGGCTTGAGATGGCTGCCACCTATGGGTCAGATGATTGCCTGCCACCATTAAGCAATTGGTAATTACATATAATATTTTGTTTAAAGTGTAAAATTTTGGAAAAAAATTTCACGAAAATAAATTGTCACGCACAACGAGTCTGTGTGCAAAATGTCAGCTCGATTGGATCACGGGAAGTGGGTAAAACAACGACCGAAATATTTGCACGGTCGTAAGCACGCAAGCGCGCAAGCAAGCAAGCGAACTTAATATAAAGGATTTAAAAATTAGTGTGCTGCCTTACGACCTCGGCGAGCCGAGTTCGATTCCCGCTCACGACCACCGCCAACACCAGCGACGATTGTCTGAACCGGTCCCGGGGGGCCTCCCCGCTAGGTCGACTGAGCCCGGAGAGAGACAAAGACGGCCGGGCGTGGTGCTGGCCACCCACCTCCTCGTGTGCCGTGCCGGCCTTCATAGGTACGACTCGCTAACAGCACTTAATCACAACAGTCTGTTGAGGCTACAGGGATCGTTGTCTAAACACGTGAAGCCAAAACGTGTGCATCTCTGCTCAAACGAGGCAACGTGTGTGTGCTACCACGTCTCCGAAGTTCGTCTGGCCGGCGTGAAAGAGTAGGCCAAGTACAGCGCCCTCTCGAGGAACTCCCTCTAGCGCAGTGGTTCCTCACCTGGGGTGCACGCACCACAGGCTAAGAACCACTGCACTACACTATAAACTAAACGATCATACGCTACACTATACACTACAACAGCGGTGTACACCACAATGGAGGTTTGTAGCCTGGGATGCACGAGATGTCCTTCCTGGGGATGTACGTGATATGGACAGATTCTCTTAGAAGGTAAATCATCGAAGACACAAATTAATCTACGGGGCGACGTAAGTACACAACTTAATCTTGATTTGAAGCTTTCGTGACTGCAGGAATCCATACTCTTTGGCTCTTTCGGTAAAGTCACATAGGTAGAAAAATAAAATAAAGCACGATGTTTCGGGCGCAACACAAGCGTCCGTCATCAGGAGGGAAAGCGTGGCATGCTGCTGATGCAGACTGTTTTTAAAAGGTTTGAAATGGGTGTAGCCCAAGGATCATAAAGAAGTGTCCTGGGCTAGTGATGTTAATGTGAGAAATTAGCATGTTAATGTAAGATAGGAGAGAAAGCGGCCTCCTTTGTTGAATCAAACACTCGATGTAGTTTCGATTTAAAGCTTTCGTGACTGCAGGGATTCATCTTCTTGGTTCTTTCGGTAAAGTCACGTAGAAGGGAAGTAATAAAATAATAAAAATAAAACATAATAAAATAATTCTCACGACGTTTCGGCCACAACGCAAGCAGCCGTCCTCAGGTGAAACCAGGTCTGTCGAGGCGACAGCGTCGAAACGTCGTGAGAATTATTTTATTATGTTTTATTTTTATTATTTTATTACTTCCCTTCTACGTGACTTTACCGAAAGAACCAAGAAGATGACTCGATGTAGTTATTAACATTGTACATTTTTTTGTTTACGGTGAAGGGCAAGAACTACTGCAGTCGAACGGGAGGTCCTTCCGACAGCAGTGACACGAACAGGAATTTGCAGGGCAGCGCCTTCAACTATTTTTAGTGTTTTTTGTTGTTGTTCCGTCAACGAACATTAATTAAGTCAGCAACATTACTTCGTTGGGTTACTCCAGAAGACCGGTGGTGGAAATTCCACATTTCCGTGGCAGGGTCAAGTTCATCCAAATGACAACCAGTAGCGTATATATAGTAGATTGATTGTCAATATTATCCATAATATAGGTTTTCTGGGTTATATCGCGTAAATATAAATGCGTCGTTTAAACCGCCACCACGGCCAATTCGTTACGAGTACAGCACACCACTTGTGTGTTAGAGAGTAAACCCACTACAACATTCACAATCACCGCTTGTGTGTTAGAGAGTAAACCCACTACAACATTCACAATCACCGCTTGTGTGTTGGAGAGTAAACTTACTACAACATTCACAATCACCGCTTGTGTGTTAGAGAGTAAACCCACTACAACATTCACAATCACCGCTTGTGTGTTAGAGAGTAAACCCACTACAACATTCACAATCACCGCCTGTGTGTTAGAGAGTAAACCCACTACAACATTCACAATCACCGCCTGTGTGTTAGAGAGTAAACCCACTACAACATTCACAATCACCGCTTGTGTGTTAGAGAGTAAACCCACTACAACATTCACAATCACCGCTTGTGTGTTAGAGAGTAAACCCACTACAACATTCACAATCACCGCTTGTGTGTTAGAGAGTAAACCCACTACAACATTCACAATCACCGCTTGTGCGTTAGAGAGTAAAACCTACTGCAACATTCACAATCACCGCTTGTGTGTTAGAGAGTAAACCCACTACAACATTCACAATCACCGCTTGTGTGTTAGAGAGTAAACCCACTGCAACATTTACAATCACCGCTTGTGCATTAGAGAGTAAAACCTACTGCAACATTCACAATCACCGCTTGTGTGTTAGAGAGTAAACCCACTACAACATTCACAATCACCGCTTGTGTATTAGAGAGTAAACCCACTACAACATTCACAATCACCGCTTGTGTGTTGGAGAGTAAACCCACTGCAACATTTACAATCACCGCTTGTGTGTTAGAGAGTAAACCCACTACAACATTCACAATCACCGCTTGTGTGTTGGAGAGTAAACCCACTGCAACATTCACAATCACCGCTTGTGTGTTAGAGAGTAAACCCACTACAACATTCACAATCACCGCTTGTGTGTTAGAGAGTAAACCCACTACAACATTCACAATCACCGCTTGTGTGTTAGAGAGTAAACCCACTACAACATTCACAATCACCGCTTGTGTGTTAGAGAGTAAACCCACTACAACATTCACAATCACCGCTTGTGTGTTAGAGAGTAAACCCACTACAACATTCACAATCACCGCTTGTGTGTTAGAGAGTAAACCCACTACAACATTCACAATCACCGCTTGTGTGTTAGAGAGTAAACCCACCACAACATTCACAATCACCGCTTGTGTGTTAGAGAGTAAACCCACTACAACATTCACAATCACCGCTTGTGTGTTAGAGAGTAAACCCACTACAACATTCACAATCACCGCTTGTGTGTTAGAGAGTAAACCCACCACAACATTCACAATCACCGCTTGTGTGTTATAGAGTAAACCCACTACAACATTCACAATCACCGCTTGTGCGTTAGAGAGTAGAACCCACTACAACATTTACAATTCCACTACCATAACGTTTCGCCGGTAATTACAAAATAACCAGCATCATCAGGCGGACATCCAGAAGTTGTGGAAAAATCCTCTAGCAGAGTGCCGTGAACTGCACACATTT